AACTGTATTCACAGATGGTTGGAAGTCAAACAGTGTTAAGATAACAAAAGGGGTTCCACAGGGTTCCATCCTCTTGTTCTCTCTTTATGTCAATAACTTGGGCACTGACCTGGATCATTCCAGGGTAAATCTTTTTGCAGATGACACGATACTGCTGGCCGCTCTCCGGATGACGTGATTGCTAATCTCCAGGGTGATTTCAACAAACTACAACATCAGCTAGTTGCTCTTAAACTAGTACTGAATACCTCCAAAACCAAGATGCTATGCTTCTCACCGGGACTAAAGCAGGAAGTTATTTTTCCCCAATTACATTCCTTAAGTAATTATCAAATAGAGCAAGTCAAGATTTATAAGTATTTTGGGGTCATCCTGGATTCAAAACTGATTTTTGAAGATCACATTGATTATATTGGTAAAAAGACTAAAATAAAAATTGGCTTTCTGTATCGACACAAGCACTACTTCCCCCTATGTTATGTATGGAATTGATAAAAGCTGCCTCTACTTGATTACTGTGAAATCGTGTATGAATCAGCCCCAAAATATGTACTGAAGAAGCTTGATTCCATCTATCACTCGGCCTTAAGATTTGCATTGAACTGCCCATATAGGACTCACCACTGTGATCTCTACATTGAGTCAAACTTAACATCTCCTAATGTTCGACGGCTTGTGCACCAGATCTTATTTATTCACGGTGTACAGAACTTACGAAAAATCCGCAGACTACCTGCTGGATCTGCTCTCTGTTTCAAAGAACAAATTTGACCTCAGGTCTTCGCTAATTTACCAGCTTCACATTCCCTATTGCCGTACAAATACCGGAAGAAGGGCCTTTGCTATTGATACCCCCAGGGTCTGGAATGCTATTGCCAATAAACTGCAACTTGAATCACTACCTATGAGATCTTAACTCAAAACTGCTCTGGAGGAGTTGTACACCCCTAGCTGCCACTGCTATTCAGTGGCCTAAAATAAAATAAAATGTTTCGCTCCGGATGACCGCTGCAAAGTATTAACTGTATTTAGATTTAGTGTGCTGATCTTAAAGGTGCATTGAAAAATGTGATACTCCGACTGATGCTCCTGTTGTTGTGGAGTGACTCATGCAGCCAACTATGGCTCTAGGGTTTGGTGTTACATGTTATTTATGTAGTTTATTGTTAAAAATTCGGTCAGTCCCTATGATCACTGTTACATTGCATTTATGGCTTTATTTTGGTGATTTCGAAAAGTTTTTTGGTTTGGCCATGTTTTTGTTTATTGTAGTACAGAGTTAGACTGGTGGCCTTCATCTTAGTTGTCTTGTGGTTGTTGTTGTTTGACTTGCATCCCACTGGGATTTTTGCACACAGCGTTGGTGTGTGCGGTGCTATTTCAGGAATATTTTGCTGTTTTTTTCCTGGATTTTCTGTTTTGCACGGTCACACACACAGTCACTTTAAGATGTTTTTCTTGTTCATGTTTTTTTTTGTTTGTTGCGGTTGCACCCGATTCAAGAGCCGAATGGCTCACAGGGCTGTACCGAAATAAATGGGAATGGAACTATGGGAGATGGACTCTGGCTACTGCTGCTGCTGCTTCGGTTTTACTGTCCGACTTGTTTCGTCTTGCTCCTGCTTTGATGGCCGCCGCGCGAGGCCTCGGGGGTGAAATTCCGAACCGGGTTGATGTTTTTGCCGTCGCGAGCACCGATGGCGAAGGAATTTAGACGACGGCAGAGAGGACGACAGGAGAGGCGATGCCCTGTAACTGAACTCTTTCGCGATTTAAAAAAAAATGTTTTACCAAGGTAAGGGCCCGCTGAGCTACGTAGCTATTTCACAGAAGGGATTTTGCTATCACAAAAATATAGCCCGACGAATTAGCTCATCGAGTGGAAATTTATTGCAGTCGTATAGTCTAATCTCACGGTGTTGATTTTAAATAAGTTGGAGGACCCGGATAAAAATCTACGAGACTTGCAAACTTCAAAAATACAGCAGGCGCCAGGATAGCGATCGAACCCACGACCTCCTGTATACCAGGCGAGGTAGTTAACATCTCCGAGCCACTGTGACGCCCTATCCTAGGCAACACTGTCCCAAACCCTTAACTTTACCCGTAGCGTCACAACCTTGCTGGAGCCGCGGGCCAGTCGACTCTCTGTTCTCCGATTGGCCTCGAGCGGCCTCCTTCTCATCCAGCGAAGTCGTCTCTCGGATGAGGCGAGCTGAACATCGCTTCCCCGTCACGGAATTCACTCCCTCCTCCGCCGTGCCAAACCTCGAAGAGTTTTGACTTAAAACTTTGGCGAGTGCGGGAATTCATATTCTTTGGTTCTTTCGGTAAAGTCACGTAGATAGAAATAATAATAATAATAATAAATGAATTTAAAAATGAAATGACCGCTTGTGTTGCGATCGAAACGTTGTGAGTTTTGGTTTTTCATTTTTTTATTTTCTATCCAGGTGACTTTATCAAAATAAAGAACCAAAGAATACCGTACAGAGTCGCCAGAGGGCCCTGCCAGGTTTTCACAGTGTGGGGGGGGGGGGGTGTGGATGTTCCTGTGTGTAATCCCAATGGTGTTAATTTGCGAGTAAACATTCAGCACTGGGATGTTTGGCCAATGCCCGTGGCTTGGACTACAGGAGAAATCCGCTCGTCCACTGTGACGTGCAGGCACAATATTATGGGTCCTACTATCCGCGACGTTATCCACGCTTTCGCTCCACGAGTCTACAAAAATACATGATAATCTCAACTTGTATGGCGCTGCTGTTGCTGCCACTTAGCCCTTTCCCATCCCGATGACGTACGTGTTTTATAATCAGCTTTTATTCCTATTCTGTTCCGATGGCGTGAGGAATCTGGGGGGGGGGAAAAAAACTAAAGAAAGAAATAACCTCTTCGGTACGTCTTCGGGTCGGAAGGCGCAGCGCGCGGGAGGGTGTGTGGCACGTTTTGGCGTCATCTGTCGCAGAGTGCGGCGGTCGTGTCGCTACAGTTCTCTGCGGTGAGTAGCAATATCTTTAAAAAACAGCGCCACTGCTACACCTCTCTGAATAAAATGAACGCTGATGAACCGCTCACACGTTCCGAGATTCGGCGGTGAATGGGACACCACCAAATCTGCAAACTTGCAGATGCCTACGGAAAGAGGGAAAGGGCTCTTTGCTCTCGCAGAGAGGGTAGAAACTCAGGGGGCACGCGGAGTGACCGCGGATGAGCGGAAAAAGCAGCCGGACGGCCGGCCAGCCAACGAGCCGGCACCAACAACTGCCAAAGGTGGTCCTCTAGGCAGTAGAACCCCTCTTAACGATGAATCCTGTTAACGACAGGCTTCTATAGAGCCCAATGTGTAGTGTATAGTGTCGTGTGTAGTAGTGTAGTGTATAGTGGTGTATAGTATTTAGTAGTGTATAGTTGTGTAGAGGAGAACCCCTCTTAACGATGAATCCTGTTGACGACAGGCCTCTATAGAGCCCAATGTGTAGTGTATAGTGTCGTGTGTAGTAGTGTAGGGTATAGTGTAGTGTATAGTGGTGTATAGTATTTAGTAGTGTACAGTGTATAGTAGCGTAGAGGATAACCCCTCTTAACGATGAATCCTGTTAACGACAGGCCTTTATAGAGCCCAATGTGTAGCGTATAGTGTTGTGTGTAGTAGTGTAGCGTATAGTGTAGTGTATAGTGGTGTATAGTATTTAGTAATGTACAGTGTATAGCAGTGTAGAGTAGAACACCTCTTAACGACCATTCTCCTGTTAACGACGGGCTATTGTAGGTATAGTAAATATAAGTTAAAGTATTTAATAACCATGTTTCTTCTAATATTATGTGTTTAATAACGTTAGTATCTTTCTGTATTAACATCCATTGTTTAAATATCATGAAGTATGTTTTTTGGGTGAAAAAGGGTAACCTGCCATTGAAACAAATGTAGACCTTAACATGTATTTCCTATTTTTTTTCGATTTAAAGCTTTCGTGACTGCAGGGATTCATCTTCTTGGTTCTTTCGGTAAAGTCACGTAGAATGAAAATAAAATAATAAAAAATAAAACATAATAAAATAAGGTTCTCACGACGTTTCGGCCACAACACAAGTAGCCTTCTTCAGGTGAATGAACAGGACTGTCCAGAAAACAGCGCTTGAGTGAACATTGCTAAGCATGGGTCGCGTCTTTTTAAGCTGTGTGGGCGGAATTAGCATAAATTAGCATGTCACCCAGCACCACCACTGGTTCGGAGGAGGGTGGCGGCTGGGCAGACAGAAAAGGAAGGTAAAGAGCAGCCAAGGTGTGCTGCTCTGTCCTGTGTTGCGTAAAACTCTGCTATAAACTGGACTACTATACAGTACAATATTATACCTTCCAATCTAAACTACATGGTATAATATCATATCCATAGACCAAAAAAAGGGTAGTGTATAGTAACGCATTGTATAATTCAAAGGTGGAATTTATTTTGTTTGTTTTTGTCTTGCTGGGTGACATGCTAATTGATATGTTAATTCCGCCCACACAGCTTAAAAAGACGCGATCCATGCTTAGCAATGTTCACTCAAGCGCTGTCTTCTGGACAGTCCTGTTCATTCACCTGAAGAAGGCTACTTGTGTTGTGGCCGAAACGTCGTGAGAATCTTCTTTTATTATGTTTTATTTTTATTATTTTATTTCCATTCTACGTGACTTTACCGAAAGAACCAGGGGTGTATTTCCTATATTCGCTTAACGACCAAATCACTTAACGACTGCTTTTGTGGAATGATTTACCGTCGCTAAGAGTGGTTCTTCTCGATATATCATTGGGGTTTTGGCCAATTAACGGGCGTTTAAAAACAAGAAACAACAGCAACTTACAGGTATTTGTGTACGTCACGTATGTTGAACTTCTTTCGCACCGCACACGTAGCCAACCGCGCCAATCGGGCAACAACCGCGTGACGCGACGGGGATCCACGTGCGTGTGCGGGATGTTTCTTCCATGTCGCTCCTTTGTTGTCCTGCGCAGGGAACCCCGCGAGCTGCAGGACGCTGGGCGGTCGGCGCTGAGACCCACGGCGGCCAGGAGCCCCAAGGCGACAACGACGGCAATGCCTCTGGGGGACGCGTACCCACATGATGACACCTACACACGTTCTGTAGGTAGAGCAGGGTGACTCCTACCCACATGATGACACCTACACACGTTCTGTAGGTAGAGCTGGGTGACTTCCTACCCACACGATGACACCTTCACACGTTCTGTAGGTAGAGCAGGTGGACTCGTACCTGTATGATGACACCTACACACGTTCTGTAGGTAGAGCGGGGTGACTCCTACCCACATGATGACACCTACACACGTTCTGTAGGTAGAGCAGAGTGACTCCTACCCACACGATGACACCTACACACGTTCTGTAGGTAGAGCAGAGTGACTCCTACCCACATGATGACACCTACACACGTTCTGTAGGTAGAGCAGAGTGACTCCTACCCACACGATGACACCTACACACGTTCTGTAGGTAGAGAGGGGTGACTCCTACCCACACGATGACACCTACACATGTTCTGTAGGTAGAGCAGGGTGACTTCCTACCCACACGATGACACCTACACACGTTCTGTAGGTAGAGCAGGGTGACTCTTACCTGTATGACAACACCTACACGTGTTCTGTAGGTAGAGACGTGGGACTCGTACCCACATGATGACACCTACACACGTTCTGTAGGTAGAGACGTGGGACTCGTACCCGTATGACGACACCTACACGTGTTCTGTAGGTAGAGACGTGGGACTCGTACCTGTATGACGACACCTACACACATTCTGTATGTAGAGCGGGGTGACTCGTACCCACATGATGACACCTACACACATTCTGTATGTAGAGCGGGGTGACTCGTACCCACATGATGACACCTACACGTGTTCTGTAGGTAGAGACGGGACTCGTACCTGCATGACGACACCTACACACGTTCTGTAGGTAGAGCAGGGGGATTCGTACCCACACAATGACACCTACACACGTTCTGTAGGTAGAGACGGGATTCGTACCCACATGATGACACCTACACGTGTTCTGTAGGTAGAGACGGGATTCGTACCCACATGATGACATCTACACGTGTTCTGTAGGTAGAGCAGGGGGACTCGTACCTGTATGACGACACCTACACGCGTTCTGCAGGTAGAGATGTTATCTCCCTCGCCTGGTATACATGAGCCCGTGTGCTTGATCCCTACCCTGATGCCCTGTGCCTCCAGATTAACATGGTTGCCTCCGTATGGTAGGAAAGAAGTTCAACATACATACTTGCAGTGTGCCTGTTGCTCTCTCTAGTCCCATGGTCGCATGGATTTTTCTCCGGTTCCTCCGGTTTTCCCCTGCACATTTAACTTCACATGTTTAGAGTATTTGGCTGCTGTAAATGCCCACATCGCCGCCTCTGCCCTGCCCCAGCGGTGAAATGTCGGGAGTGCGGTGGGGTAAAGTGTGGGTTACTGCCTCCTCCTTTCATGATTTCTGGGACGGCGTGGAAGAGTAGGCCAAATGTCCACCCAGGGCTCCCTTTCCAACAGCGGTGGCATAAGCAAGCAAATCTGAAAGACCTCCACCCTTTTGATAAAATACAAAAACATTTTGTTGGTCGCTTGCTCAATCTGAGTCTTGAACGATGGGCCCACATTCCCAATGGCACCCCTTGGGCTTCTCCGCTTAGCATAAATGCTCTGTCAGGCGAAGTCCAAGTTACACAACCGAGGGTGAGGTCTCCTTTATGTAATTACAAAGTTCACCGCCTACGTGCCCCCCACCACCACCCTGTGCTGTTGCACTCAGCTCGGCAATCTTTCAAACCCATAAAGATAGCGCCACGCCAATGGATCGCTCCGTGAGGATGAGAACGCGATACAAATGGTGCACGAGCAGAAGGAGGAGCAAGCAAAACAGAAGCAAACTTACACACTCAACACATTGGTCATTGATAACACCGTGGTCTTAACAAACAATAGCCCCCCCCGTCTGTAATTGGTGATGGTTTCGACAATGCACTGTCTACGTAATGCACACACACACACACACCAGGTTGCGACTGACTGGTCATTCAAGCCGCTCGGCAGAGTGAATTCGGCGGGGCCCAACGGACATTTGGTGGAGCGGGGCCCATCCCCGGAGCAGGACAGCTCCTAACGTCGGCCGTCGCTTCACAGCATTCGCTGGCTAGGTTGGCTGGCTGGAAGGTTGGCTAGGTTTACTGGCTGGTTGGTTGGCTGGCTACGTTGGCTGGCTAGGTTGGCTGGCTAGGCTGGCTGGCTGGGTGGCTGGCTAGGTTGGTTGGCTAGGTTGGCTGGCTGGCTGGCTAGGTTGGCTGGCTAGGTTGGCTGGCTAGGTTGGCTGGTTGGCTGGCTAGGTTGGCTGGCTAGGTTGGCTGGCTAGGTTGGTTGGCTAGTTTTGGGTGGCTGGCTGGCTAGGTTGGTTGGCTAGGTTGGCTGGCTAGGTTGGCTGGCTGGCTGGCTAGGTTGGCTGGCTGGTTGGCTGGCTAGGTTGGCTGGTTGGCTGTTTAGGTTGGCTGGCTATGGTTGGCTGGTTGGCTGGCTAGGTTGGCTGGCTGGCTGGTTGGCTGGCAAGGCTGGCTAGGTTGGCTGGCTGGTTGGCTGGCTGGCTAGGTTGGCTGGCTGGCTAGGTTGGCTGGCTAGGTTGGCTGGCTGGTTAGCTGGCTGGCTGGCTAGGTTGGCTGGCTAGGTTGGCTGACTAGGTTGGCTGGCTGCCTGGTTGGCTGGCTGGCTGGCTAGGTTAGCTGGCTAGGTTGGATGGCTAGGTTGGCTGGCTAGGTTGGCTGGCTGGCTAGGTTGGCTGGCTAGGTTGGCTGGCTAGGTTGGCTGGCTGGTTAGCTGGCTGGCTGGCTAGGTTGGCTGGCTAGGTTGGATTGCTAGGTTGGCTGGCTCGGTTGGCTGGCTTAGGTTGGCTGGCTGGTTGGCTGGCTGGCTGGCTAGGTTGGCTGGCTAGGTTGGCTGGCTAGGTTGGCTGGCTGGCTAGGTTGGCTGGCTATGGTTGCTTGGCTGGCTGGTTGGTTGGCTGGTTGGTTGGCTATGGTTGGTTGGCTGGCTGGTTGGTTGGCTGGTTGGTTGGCTATGGTTGGTTGGTTGGCTGGTTGGTTGGTTGGCTGGTTGGCTGGCTAGGTTAGTTGGCTTGCTGGTTGGCTGGCTTGCTGGTTGGCTGGCTGGCTGGTTGGCTGTCTGGCTGGAGGGATGGAGGGATGGACGGTGACGTCCGAAGGGCTTGCGGGCTTTCTAGTTTCTCTTTTTTGGGAAACTTTAGACGGAGTTGGAGCCCTAGCACGGCACATGGACGAGCGTGGCACTCCACGCAACATCCGTGCCGCCCTTATTTTTTTGTTTTTGTTGTTGCTGGTGAATAGCATTTTTCATAATCAATTGGGATCTGAATTTTTTTGTATCCTGGAGGAATCCGGTGAAGCCACTAAGCTTTTTTTTTCACCACCACACATGTCTGGTTACGACAACAAACAATACAAAAAAAACCTGAGAGGATTGCAAAATAAAGAGGTCAGCAAATTTCTAAGAAATAATGAAGGGTGGGGAGGGGGGGAGATGACCACCGCACACGCGCATGCTTCAACCTTGGTGGCTAGAAGATGTTAACTACCTCGCATGGTATACGGGAGGTTGTGGTTTCGATCCAGATCCTGACGCCTGCCGTATATTTGGAGTTTGGGTGTCTCTCTCATCTCTGTCCCCGCGGTCACGTGGATTTTTCTACAGGTTCCTCGAGGTTTTCCCTCCCACAGTGAAAATCAACGTGCGTTTTAGATTGTTTGACTGCTAGAAATCTCCACGTGATTAGCCACTTCGTTGAGCTGTCGTTTGTGACCAGGTCACTTCTGGAAAAGAGATAAATAGCTCAGTGGGCCTTATCTGGGGAAAAAGAGCGAATAATAAATATAGAAATAAATCATTCGCCCACGTGCCAGGAATCCAGGCAGCCAGGAATCCAGCTGGGCAGGCAGTAATCCAGTCAGCAAAACTCTAACATAGTACAGGGACTCCTCTACTTACAGACATTTGACTTACGAACTGTCAGAGATACGAACAAACCTGTCCGTCCGTATGTCATGTAGATGCCACATTCAGAACCAGTGGCATCTACATCTGCAGAACATGAAGAATGAGTGGGAAATACATCTGCAGAACATGAAGAACCAGTGGCATCTACATCTGCAGAACATGAAGAACCAGTGGCATCTGCAGAACATGAAGAACCAGTGGCAACTACATCTGCAGAACATGAAGAACCAGTGGCATCTGCAGAACATGAAGAACCAGTGGCATCTACATCTGCAGAACATGAAGAACCAGTGGCATCTGCAGAACATTAAGAGCCAGTGGCATCTACTTCTGCAGAACATGAAGAACCAGTGGCATCTGCAGAACGTGAAGAACCAGTGGCATCTACAGAACGTGAAGAACCAGTGGCATCTACAGAACGTGAAGAACCAGTGGCATCGACATCTGCAGAACATGAAGAACCAGTGGCATTTACATCTGCAGAACATGAAGAGCCAGTGGCATCTACATCTGCAGAACATGAAGAACCAGTGGCATTTACATCTGCAGAACATGAAGAACCAATGGCATCTACATCTGCAGAACATGAAGAACCAGTGGCATCTACATCTGCAGAACATGAAGGACCAGTGACATTTACATCAACAGGAGATTATACAACTTTTAAAGCCATTCCCCGTGTTTAGTGTACATGTCGTACAACACGTTTGGAATCGACTTACAAACAGACCTCTGGAACCCAACTCGTTCGTACGCAGAGGAGTCCCTGTATGTTGCAGCAAACCCTTTAAGGGTTCAAAGACAATGCGTATATCACCAGAGCGTGTTTGTTTGCATGCTCACCACAAGTGCCGTGGTGTGGTTAATGCGAGCTTGATTCCTCGCAAAAGAGTTTATATTGGGTGTTTGAACATCTCAGCACAACTCCCGTTGTGTTGCCAGAAAGGGTTTGCACCAAGGCCGTAGCCATGGAGTCAACATTGGGGGGGACCAAATCTTCTAGGGTGTCTGGAGGTCCCAACCCAGAAAATTATCTAAATTTGAAAACTAATTTCCTGCCTAAAATATTAAAAAATTCCCTAACGCGTGGGATGGTCTTTTTATTTATTTTTTACAATAATGTCTAATAGTGTATTGTATTACATTGCTCTGTTTTTACTTTTTTAACATTTCTTGTTTCATCGTATGTAATGGCAGAGATTAGGGATTCATAAAGTACAACCATAACCACTCATTGTTTTTTTTTCGGTAAAGTCACGTATGTAGAAATACAATAAAATTATATTAAAACAAAAAACAATCACGACGTTTCGATCACAACGCAAGCGATCTTCATCAGGTGTCAAGAAGATTTAATATAATTTTATTGTGTTTCTACATACGTGACTTTACCGAAAAAAAACCAATGAGTAATTTTATGCAGTCACGAAAGCTTTAATACCTTATTACAACCATAACCACAATCATATAAAAATAAATCTATGCATTGATTTACATGAAGACAAGTCCAGATATTGTGGTCAAGTTTTCGCAAAAAGTTTTTTATATAGCAATACATGGGAGGGGGGGGGACATTTTGAGCATATTTGAATATTGGGAGGGGGGGGGTGTGTGTGTGTCCCCCCCCAATATATATTATAATCACGGCCTTGGTTTGCACGCACGACAAGCCCTCGCGACACACGTGCCGATTGTCTGTTGTTTCGCTGTTGGTGCAGGGGTGCAAGAATAACGTGCGGGCGCTGGCGCTGCGTGCCGACGCGTGGCTGCGCGCGGCGTTCATCCCAGACACACGCGTGCTCGCGTGGAGCGAGCACGCCACGGCGCAGGAGTACGAGCGCCTCAAGCGCTTCCAGCTCATCTACGGCTGGGGTGGCAAGAACTTCTCGCGTGAGTGTTGGTGGTGGTGGTGGTGGTAGCGGTGGTGGCGGCGCTGGTGGCGGTGGTGGTGGTGGTGGTGCTAGTGGCGGTGGTGGATGTGGTGGTGGTGGTGGCACTGGTGGTGGATGTGGTGGTGGTCGTGGTGGTGGTGGCTCCAGGTGTGGAAGCGGAAGTCTCACTCCGAATCAGTCGAGCGGCAATATATTTTGATCGGTTGCGTAACGCTGTGTGGAAGCTGCCTGGTCTGTCGCTCCGCACGAAGCTTCAGGTCTTTTCGGCCATGCTCATTCCCTCCCTTCTCTACGCCAGCGAAACGTGGAAACATTTAGGCTGGCCTGCCTACGATCCATCCTGGGTTTAACCAGGCTGGATTGTGTGACGAGCTCACAAATCCTTGAAAAATCTGGGCAAAGTCCCATCGGTGAGCTCCTCCGGCAGGCAAGGCTGCGTTGGCTGGGCCATGTAGCTCGCATGCCCAGCCACCGCATGCCGAAACAGCTTTTGTTCGGCCGGATTGAGGGGGATAAACGGGCGAGGCACGGGCTAGAGAAGAGATGGAATGATGTGGTACAGGAGGACGTGCAGCTGAGTGGACTTGCCGATGACTGGTGCCAGCGGTGTTAAGATCGGCCTCAGTGGAGGAGGCTCGTGAAGGACGCTACTGGGCAGTTGGAGGCAGTCGCCCTCCAACAACAACGGAGGGCGGAGGAGCGACGCTCACAACAACGAGCGGAGCGCCGGGTGGCTAAAGCACAGCAAGTTGGCACTGTAGGGGGCACAGGTGGTGCATCAGCCAGTCATCTTAGTCAGTTGACCCGTGGTACCTGGGTCTGTCCCGTGACCTCCTGTCAGTGGGCGTTCGACACTTCACGTGGCCTCAAGGTGCACATAGCCTGGCACAAGCGTCGTGGTGACGTCACCGCCACTTAGTGGCGAATGGCGGTTGTTGTTGTTGGTGGTGCTGGTGGATGCAGTGGCGGTAGTGGTGGTGCTGATGGTGGTGGATGTGGTGCTGGTGGTGGTGGTGGTGCTGGTGGTGGTGGTGCTGGTGGTGGTGGTGGATGTGGTGGTGGTGCTGGTGCTGGTGGTGGATGTGGTGGTGGTGGTGGTGGATGTGGTGGTGGTGCTGGTGCTGGTGGTGGATGTGGTGGTGGTGGTGGTGGATGTGGTGGTGGTGGTGGATGTGGTGGTGGATGTGGTGCTGGTGGTGGCGGTGGATATGGTGGTGGTGGATGTGGTGCTGGTGGTGGCGGTGGTGGATGTGGTGGTGGTGGTGGTGCTGCTGGTGGTGGATGTGGTGCTGGTGGTGGTGGATGTGGTGCTGGTGCTGGTGGTGGATGTGGTGGTGCTGGTGGATGTGGTGGTGGTGGCGGTGCTGGTGGTGGTGGTGGTGGATGTGGTGCTGGTGGTGGCGGTGCAGCTTGTTCACGTATCAAGACGCCGCTTGGTTGTCACGTCGGTCTTCTCCCGCACCGTACAAAGCCCACCGACACTAACCCCCCGCCCCCCCCCGCCCCCCCCACCTTCTTATCGCAGTCGTGGCCACCGCTCTGCGGCTGCTCAACACGAGCGCCAACCGCCACATGTTCGACGACTGGAGCGAGCGATGGAGGCGGCAGCGGCGGCGGGCACCGGCGTGCGTCGCCTGCGCCGTCGTGGGCAACGGCGGCATCCTCAACGGGTCGCGCCTGGGCCGCGAGATCGACAAGCACCACTACGTCTTCCGGTCAGCGCTCACCCCTCGCACCCTCGCTCTCGCTCTCGCTCTCGCCCCTCCCTCTGACCCCACCCCCTCTCTCTCGCCCCTCTCTCTCGCCCCCCCGCCTCTCTCGTCCCCCGACTCTCTCATCCCACGCCTCTCTCGCCCCCCCTCTTCCCCCTCTCTTTCTCGCCCCCCCCTCTCTCTCGGCCCCTCTCTCTCCCCCTCTCTCTTGCCCCCCTCTCTCACCCCCCCCTCTCACCCCCTCTCTCTCGCCCACCTCTCTCACCCCCCTCTCCCCCCTCTCTCTCTCCCCTTTCTCTCTCGCCCCCCCTCTCACCCCCCTCTCTCTCTCGGCTCCCCCTCTCTCTCCCCCCTCTTTTTCACCCCCCCTCTCTCCCCCCCCCTCTCCTCCTCTCCCCCCCTCTCTTATCCCCCCTCTCTCTCGCCCCCCCCTCTCTCCCCCCCTCTCTCATCCCCCCTCTCTCTCGCCCCCCTTTCTCTCGCCCCCCCTCGCCCCCCCTATTCTCCCCTCTCCCCCCCCTCTCTCTCTCCCCCCCCCTCTCCCTCGCCCCCCCTCTCTCCAGCCCTCTCCCCCCAAAATCACGTGACGTCGCTGCTTGGGGATTTGTTGTTGTTGTTTTAGTTTGTGGTCCTTCCACCCCAACCACACCCACCCCCCCACCCACCACGCCGCACCTCCGGTTGGCCACGTGCATTGAGCAGTCAATGTCGATTGGCTGCTCAACGTTCCAGACGGCCACAGAAGCGCGTCTGAAAGCGCTTTCAGGTTGCCAGCGAAAAGGCGCTGCGAGTATTTCCGGAGTTGGCGTGGTTTTTGCTCTCTGACGAGCTCGGCGAGGTATTGTCGTTCGTTTGTGGCGAGCCCATGGGTCTTGTGTAAATCCCTACGACGTGGCTTTTGAAAAAAAAAACCCAGGATGAACCTCTTGCAGAAGCCACGCAGGGGGACCTGTGGCACGTTCTAGCAGAACGGTGAGCACCCTCGCACCGCGTGAAAGCGACGAAGGTGTGGTGACCGTCTTTGTGCCATGGACAGCCAAAAGACGCTGCTAGCGAGGACTCACCGGAGTTCACGCGGCGATGGTTTCTGCCCCTTGACGAGGTCGGCGGGCTGTCGGGGTTCCTTTGCGGCGAGCACGTTGCGCGTAACGAGTGCGACCTCTTTAATGTCTTCGTTCAGCAACCAGAAGCCCATGCAGCTCGGTGAGCACTGGACGGACGCGTGTCCTCCTCTCGATGTAATTCCAACCGTGCATGCAATGTATCATCCATCATCCTCATTATTATTATTATCCATTGGTGTATTAAAAATAATTATAGATGATATTTTGGACCGCACGGTTCAACTGCTAGCAACAAATTTGCTCGTGTGCTTAAGTTTTGCTCAACGGGAAGAGCGGCAACCCGGCTTAAGGCAGATTAACTCCCAGCGACCCCTCGAGATCGGGCACATCTATCGAAATCAGCTGAGGTCTCCCGTAAATCACGTGACCTTCTGTGCGGCCACCCCCACTCTGAACCCCTTTCCTCTCAGCTACGCATCTTTCAGTCTCAATCAACCAAGCCTTTATTGCTGTAGCACTATTTCGCGCAAAAGATGCAATTCAAAGTGCTGCACAGATAAAAGAAAGCATTGTCGCTCAAGAACAATTAAAGCAATTTCCATTCAAACAGAATTGCAACAACAACAAAATTGTTGCCGTGGTTTTCCCACCTGATGATGATTGCTTGTGTTGCAATCAAAACGTCGTGACTTTACCGAAAGAACCAAAGAGTATGGATTCCTGCAGTCACGAAAGCTTCAAATCAGGATTAAAATTGCATTATAATGAATTGCTATCGAAGGCATATTTAAAAAAAAAACTCTATAAAATAAACTTAAGTAAAAAGCAAGTTTAAAAATATTCGTTTTTAGATTCAACTTTAAATTGCTTAATAATTGCCAAGCCCACAGATCCCCTGGCAGGCTGCTCCACAGGCGAAGACCACGCACACTGAAATCCACTTCTCCGTGAGCTTTGGTCCTGTCCCTTGGGATGACTAAAAGACCGGCACCAGAGGTGTCTGAGTTCTATTGTTGGTTCACATCTTAAAAAGCATAGAAGACGGGTATGCTGGTGCCAAACCATTCAACGATTTAAAAACCAATAAAAAAAAACACTTCTAAAATTATTTCTACGACCGTAAAAATACGCGTCACGTGGATGCTCTTTCTTGTTTTCGTAATCACCCGTGCCGCTGCATTCTGAATAAGTTGTAGGTTACATATTGACTTTTTCGGGAAGACTGGAAAAGAGAGCATTGCAGTAGTCAAGTCTCCTGGCAATAAAAGCACGCGTCAGTTTCTCAGAAGTTAACCGAGAGAGAAATGGCTGTAACTTAGCCATATTTCTAAGATGATAGAAATGCCGTTTTGGTGATATATCTGATGTGGGCTTCAAAGTTCAAATCCGGATCAAACGGAACACGAACGTTTTTAACCTGCAGTTTGGCGTTTTCTGTCAGTGAGCAAAAAAATGTGTGAGCAGTTGATCTCTTTGGGCTTTTTGCTCCAATTACCAGGACCTCTGTTTTGTCTTTGTTAAGTGCCAGGAAATTCAGTGTCATCCACATTTTAATATTATCAATGCATCACGGGACCTCCTTTGCCAGTACCAAAATATGAGAATAGGGTTTTCCCCTTTTTTCTGGCAAAAAAAACAGTTGTGTTAAGATGTTAAAACACAAAACTGAAATGTTTTACAAGGAATCATGTCTGCGTTAACAACAATACTTGTGGTCAGAATGCAAACAATCAACGTACTCTGATCATATATGTGGCATTGTCTTTGAAACGGGTTGGTCCACACCAGAGACAGCTTTCTTTTGAGCCTCGTTTCAAAACGGTGTTAGACCAGAGGACGCCAAAAGTCCTCTGGGAATAGGCTCCAAAGAAAGCTGTCTCTTGTGTGGACCAATCAGTTTAAAAAACAATGCCACATATTATCAGAGCATGTTTTTTTGTTTGCATTCTGATCACAAGTATTGTGGTTAATGCAGACATGATTCCTTGTGAAAGGTTTCAGTTTGGTGTTTTAACATCTTAACACCTGATTGTCATACAGACACTATCCCTACCACTACTCCAATCCCTATCACTACCGATTCCCCTATCACCAACCCTATCACTACCCCAACCCCGTCCTTAACCACTCACGCCTGCCCTCCTGTCACCACAGCTACACCACAACGTTTAATAACCACCCCACTTCAAAATATCTCAACCACTGCCATCTTGTGTACACCTTTGTAAGTTTTGTAAAGGCGCCTTTGACCGAGTGAGGCGCTGCTGCACGAGTTTGTGTAACATAGGATGGTTGTAATTCACTAATTTTCAGAGGGGGGAGGGACACTATCACCGATAAGACATCGTCAGTGTGAGTTAGTGCCGCCACACCATTTGAAACCGTCGTTGGGTTTGAGACCCCTTCCCGCCAGCAAGTGGCATTTTATCTTTAAAAGCTGACAAAAATACGTTTTTTTTTACCAGCTAAGGCCCCACTGAGGTACCTATTTTGCAGAAGCGACCTTGCTATCACAAATAATAGCTCATCGGAAGTGGCTCATCATCATGACGGATACATTTCTAGCAGCAGCCAGTTACTCTGAACGCACGTGCTTGATTGTAAATGTGGAGGGAGTGAGACCTTGGGGAAAAAAATCCACACGACCACGGGGAGTGAGAGACAGAGAACACGCGAACTTCAAATACACAGCAGGCGTCCAGGTCGGGATCGAACCCACGACCTCATGCATTCCAGGCGAGGCTGTTAACATCTCCTAGCCACCGTGATGATGATGATGAGAGAGACACACAAACTGCAAATATACAGCAGGTGTCCAGGTCGGGATCGAACCCACGACCTCCCATATACCGGGAGAGGCAGTTAACATATTCTAGCTACCGTGATGATGATAAGAAAGAGAGACACGCAAACTCCAAATACACAGCAGGCGTTGGGGTCGGGATCGAACCCACGACATCCCGTATACCAGGCGAGGCAGTTAACATCTCGCCACCGTGGCACCCTTACAACCAGGATCTGCAGTGCCAATGTAAAAGCCTCCCCCAACGTTGATCAACGTCAGACGCTGACCCGCGTGGGTGGAGGGATATTTCATCGTGGTGGAATGCTCCTTGGCTCGGCCATGGACTGATGAGATCCAGAGCTAGCAGTGGCCCACAACGTTTGTTTAAGACGAGAGCGTTGCAGCGACGTGCGCACGTCTCTACGTGCGTTGAACTTCTTTCGCACAAACCGTACGTAGCCAACCGCGCTAATCGGAGGTGCGTGGGGGTGGGCGGGGGAATGACAACGAACTAAACACCAAAAGCAGTTCTAAAGGAAGAATGAGTTTGTCCATCTTGACGATTTGAGAGTGCATAGCTCCAGTGGCTTCGTAATATCGGAAGGAAGATCGATCTAGGTCGATCCAGACGGCCGCAGACGCGCATCTGAAGGCACGCGATGCGTTTTCAGATGGCCAGCCGAAAGCCACTGCAAGGATCACCGGAGCTCGCGTGATGATTTATGATCCTTGACAGGGTCAGCAAGGCAATCGTGGCTCATGTGTGGAGAGCAATGGGCCTCGGGTAAAATCCCCACGACGTGGCTTTGAAACCAGGATATGGACCCCTTGCACAAGCCACACAAGGAGAGATTACATTCACAGCAGAACCATGAGCACTCTTGCATCGCGTGCGTGAGGTATTTGTTTTTTGGCAACGATCTAGAGCGTGACTCACGGACCCGAGCGCCGAGCAAGCGTCGCAGAGATTTGCGAAACCAAGTTTCAGCCACTGCCAGTGATTTGGTCGTGGGTTCTCGAGCGGAGTGAATTGATGGCCTCAGCCAGATCACCAATGGCTCGCATAGATTACCCTATATATTTTTTTGCGTATTCTTTTTTGACCAGGTAAGGCCCACGGAGCTCTGTGGCCCCTTTTTGCAGAAGCGACCTGGCTATCACAAATTATAGCTCAACGACGTGGTGTATTATTACGTGGAAATAAATGGCAGCCGCATATTCAAAACGCATCTTTATTCCAATTGTGGAGGCAAAAACCGGAGGACCGCGTGAAACATCGACGTGACCATGGAGAGTGAGAGAGACACGCACACTCCAAATATACAGCAGGTGTCAGGGTCGGGATCGAACCCACGCCCTCCTGCATACCGGGAGAGGTAGTTAACATCTTCTAGCCACTGTGATGATGATGATGAGAGCGACACGCAAACTCCCAATATACAGCATGCATTGTCAGGGTCGGGATCGAACCCACGGCCTCCTCCATACCAGGAGATGATGATGATGAGAGAGACACGCAATCTCCAAATATACAGCAGGCATTGTCTGGGTCGGGATCGAACCCACGGCGTCCTGCATACCAGGAGATGATGATGATGAGAGAGGCACGCAAACTCCCAATATACAGCAGGCGTTGTCAGGGTCGGGATCGAACCCACGGCCTCCTGCATACCAGGAGATGATGATGATGATGAGAGAGACACGCAAACTCCCAATAAATAGCAGGCATTGTCAGAGTCGGGATCGAACCCACAGCCTCCTGCTTACCAGGAGATGATGATGATGATAGAGACATACTCTTTGGTTCTATTCGGTAAAGTCACATAGGTAAAAAATAAAACAACAAAAATCACGACGTTTCGGCCACAACACAAGTAGCCTTCTTCAGGTGAAGGAACAGAACTGTCGGGACGACAGAGCTTCAATGTCGTTCCAACAGTTCTGTTGCTTCACCTGAAGAAGGCTACTTGTGTTGTGGCCGAAACGTCGTGATTTTTGTTGTTTTATTTTTTACCTACGTGACTTTACCGAATAGAACCAAAGAGTATGGAACCTTGCAGTCACGAAAGTTTCAAATCTAGAATGAGAGAGACACGCAAACTCCCAATATACAGCAGGCATTGCTTCTGCTACTGCTGATGTTGCTGCCGCTTCTTCTGCTGCTGCTGATGCTGCTGATGTTGCTTCTTCTGCTGCTGCTGCTTCTTCTGCCGCTTCTTCTGCTGCTGCTGCTGCTTATGTGCTGTTGCTGCTGCTCCTGTTGCTTCTGCCGCTGTCGCAGGGTGAATGCCGCGATGACCCGGGGCTACGAGGACGACGTGGGGAGCAGAACGAGCTTCTACTTCTTCAGCACCAACACCATGCGCAACTCGCTGGGCCGATACCGCAAGCTGGGATACACCTCGCCGCCCAACACGCCAGTACGAAGCGCCGCGTGCATGCACAGCCCGTGCTTTTGACAGCCCGTGCCCTTCACAGCCCGTGCCCTTCACAGCCTGTGCCTTTGACAGCACGTGCCCTTCACAGCCCCTACCACTGTCTGTGTACCCCTACCAGCCCTACCCCTGGCTGTGTACCCCTACCAGTCCCTACCCCTGTCTGTGTACCCCTACCAGCCCTACCCCTGTCTGTGTACCCCTACCAGCCCCTACACCCGCTCTGTGTACCCCTACCAGCCCTACCCCTCTCTGTGTACCCCTACCAGCCCTACCCCTGTCTGTGTACCCCTACCAGCCCTACCCGTGTCTGTGTACCCCTACCAACCCCTACCCCTGTCTGTGTACCCCTACCAGTCCCTACCCCTGTCTGTGTACCCCTACCAGCCCTAACCCTGTCTGTGTACCCCTACCAGCCCCTACCCCTGTCTGTGTGCCCCTACGAACCCCTACCTGTGTCTGTGTACCCCTACCAGTCCCTACCCCTGTCTGTGTACCCCTACCAGCCCTTCCCCTGTCTGTGTACCCCTACCCCTGTCTGTGTACCCCTACCAGCCCCTACACCCGCTCTGTGTACCCCTACCAGCCCTACCCCTCTCTGTGTACCCCTACCAGCCCTACCCCTGTCTGTGTACCCCTACCAGCCCTACCCCTGTCTGTGTACCCCTACCAGCCCTACCACTGTTTGCGTACCCCTACCAGCCCTACCCCTGTCTGTGTACCCCTTCCAACCCATACCCCTGTCTGTGTACCCCTACCAGCCCTATCCCTGGCTGTGTACCCCTACCAGCCCTGCCCCTGTCTGTGTACCCCTACCAGCCCTACCCCTGGCTGTGTACCCCTACCAGCCCTACCCCTGGCTGTGTACCCCTACCAGCCCCTACACCCGCTCTGTGTACCCCTACCAGCCCTACCCCTGTCTGTGTACCCCTACCAGCCCTACCCGTGTCTGTGTACCCCTACCAGCCCTACCCCTGTCTGTGTACCCCTACCAGCCCTACCCGTGTCTGTGTACCCCTACCAACCCCTACCCCTGTCTGTGTACCCCTACCAGTTCCTACCCCTGTCTGTGTACCCCTACCAACCCCTACCCCTGTCTGTGTACCCCTACCGGTCCCTACCCCTCCCTGTGTACCCCTACCAACCCCTACCCCTGTCTGTGTACCCCTACCAGCCCTACCCCTGGCTGTGTACCCCTACCAGTCCCTACCCCTGTCTGTGTACCCCTACCAGCCCTACCCCTGTCTGTGTACCCCTACCAGCCCCTACACCCGCTCTGTGTACCCCTACCAGCCCTACCCCTCTCTGTGTACCCCTACCAGCCCTACTCCTGTCTGTGTACCCCTACCAGCCCTACCCGTGTCTGTGTACCCCTACCAACCCCTACCCCTGTCTGTGTACCCCTACCAGTCCCTACCCCTGTCTGTGTACCCCTACCAGCCCTACCCCTGTCTGTGTACCCCTACCAGCCCCTACCACTGTCTGTGTACCCCTACGAACCCCTACCTGTGTCTGTGTACCCCTACCAGTCCCTACCCCTGTCTGTGTACCCCTACCAGCCCTTCCCCTGTCTGTGTACCCCTACCCCTGTCTGTGTACCCCTACCAGCCCCTACACCCGCTCTGTGTACCCCTACCAGCCCTACCCCTCTCTGTGTACCCCTACCAGCCCTACCCCTGTCTGTGTACCCCTACCAGCCCTACCCCTGGCTGTGTACCCCTACCAGCCCTACCACTGTTTGCGTACCCCTACCAGCCCTACCCCTGTCTGTGTACCCCTTCCAACCCATACCCCTGTCTGTGTACTCCTACCAGCCCTACCCCTGGCTGTGTACCCCTACCAGCCCTACCCCTGTCTGTGTACCCCTACCAGCTCTACCCCTGTCTGTGTACCCCTACCAGCCCTACCCCTGTCTGTGTACCTCTACCAGCCCTACCCCTGTCTGTGTACCCCTACCAGCCCTACCCCTGTCTGTGTACCCCTACCAGCCCTACCCCTGTCTGTTAACCCCTACCTGCCCTACCCCTGGCTGTGTACCCCTACCAGCCCCTACACCCGCTCTGTGTACCCCTACCAGCCCTACCCCTGTCTGTGTACGACTACCAGCCCTACTCCTGACTGTGTACCCCTACCAGCCCTACCCCTGTCTGTGTACCCCTACCAGCCCTACCCCTGTCTGTGTACCCCTACCAGCCCCTACCCCTGTCTGTGTACCCCTACCAGCCCCTACCCCTGTCTGTGTACCCCTACCAGCCCTACCCCTGTCTGTGTACCCCTACCAGCCCTACCCCTCTCTGTGACACCGCGGGAGATTGTGACAGTGGGAGATTGTGACAGTGGGAGATTGTGACACTGTGAGAGATTGTGACACTGTGAGAGATTGTGACACTGTAGGAGATTGTTGCACTGTAGGAGATTGTGACGCAGCGGGAGATTGTGACACTGTGAGAGATGCGTGACACTGTAGGAGATTGTGACACTGTGGGAGATTGTGACGTCGCGGGAGATTGTCACACCACGAGAGATTGTGACACTGTGGGAGATTGTGACACTGTAGGAGATTGTGACACTGTGAGAGATGCGTGACACTGTAGGAGATTGTGACACTGTTGGAGATTGTGACGTCGCGGGAGATTGTCACACCACGAGAGATTGTGACACTATGAGAGATTGTGACACTGTAGGAGATTGTTGCACTGTAGGAGATTGTGACGCAGCGGGAGATTGTGACACTGTGAGAGATTGTGACACTGTGAGAGATGCGTGACACTGTAGGAGATTGTGACACTGTGGGAGATTGTGACGTCGCGGGAGACTGTGACGCCGCTCGTTGTCGGTTGCAGGAGACGCGCTACGTCTTCATCCCGGACAGCGTGCGTGACTACCAGATGGTGCAGGCCGCCATCACCAACACGCCCGTCGCCTACGGACGCGACCGCTCCAAACTGTGAGGATCCCCTCCTGTTCCCCTTGCACGTGCACATCGATCGAGTGGCGGTCCACACCTCCCTGCTTATACATCTTTAATCAAGGCCGGAATTATAATATGCTCACAATGTCCCCCTCTCCTGCCACCTTCAGGTGGCAGCCCGCTTCTAAGCCCCTCCTGCAGGAGGGGCTTAGAAGCGGGCTGAGAATTTTTTTCTCGAAGACGGAGAACGACATCATCCAGAGGTGCAGGTCTGGGGATGTCTTGAAGGGTTTGGCCACCGCGTAGAGATCTCCCTCGATTTTGATCGCTGGGACGAGGTCCACGCAGATTTCATAGTCGGTTCTAACCAAGGCCGTAATTATAATATATATTGGGAGACACACATCCCCCCCAATATTCAAATATGCACAAAATATCCCCCCCAATATATTGCTATAAAATAGATTTCTGTTTATATGATTGTGGTTATGGTTGTTACTTTATTAATTCCTAATCTCTGCCATTACATACAATGAAACAAGAAACGGTAAAAAAAAATCAGAGCAATGTAATGAATACAATACATTATTAGACATCGTTGTAAAAAAATAAAAAAATAAAAAAGTCCATCCCAAGTGTTCGTGAATTTTAAAATATTTTAGACATGAAATGGAAGGAAATTTGTTGTCAAATTTTGATTTTTTTTCCTGTGGGGAGGGGGGCCCTAGACCCCCTGGAAGATTTGGTCCCCCCCAATTTGATTCCATGGCTACGGCCTTGGTACAGGCGAATTGAGTTTTCAGGTCCATGCAGCGTAGAGGCGTTTCAATACGGGCAAAATAAATGTTGTCTATTTGTTTGTGTTTCTCTCCTTGTGATGGGACTTTGTAGTATGAACGTTGAGATTTATAAGGGGCACGGGGTGACCAGTAAGGTCTGAATTGGTCTGTAATAAGGTAGGGCACTGATAAGGGGTTGACAGGTATGTAGTGGTGAGTGTAGTAGTGAGTGTACTAATGGTGAGTGTAGTAGTGGTGAGTGTAGTAGTGAGTGTACTAGTTGTGAGTATACTAGTGGTGAGTGTACTAGTGGTGAGTGTAGTGATGAGTGTACTAGTGGTGAGTGTAGTGGTGGATGTACTAGTGATGAGTGTAGTGGTGAGTGTAGTGGTGAGTGTAGTGGTGAGTGTACTAGTGGTGAGTGTAGTAATGAGTGTACTAGTGGTGAGTGTACTAGTGGTGAGTGTAGTGGTGAGTGTACTAGTGGTGAGTGTACTAGTGGTGAGTGTACTAGTTGTGAGTGTAGTGGTGAGTGGAGTAGTGGTGAGTGTACTAGTGGTGAGTGTACTAGTGGTGAGTTTACTAGTGGTGAGTGTACTAGTGGTGAGTGTAGTGATGAGTGTACTAGTGGTGAGTGTACTAGTGGTGAGTGTAGTGGTGAGTGTACTAGTGGTGAGTGTACTAGTGGTGAGTGTAGTGGTGAGTGTACTAGTGGTGAGTGTACTAGTGGTGAGTGGAGTAGTGTTGAGTGTACTAGTGGTGAGTGTAGTGATGAGTGTACTAGTTGTGAGTGTAGTGGTGAGTGGAGTAGTGGTGAGTGTACTAGTGGTGAGTGCAGTGATGAGTGTACTAGTGGTGAGTGTAGTGGTAAGTGTACTAGTGGTGAGTGTACTAGTGTTGAGTGTACTAGTGGTGAGTGTACTAGTGGTGAGTGTAGTGGTGAGTGTACTAGTGATGAGTGTACTAGTTGTGAGTGTAGTGGTGAGTGGAGTAGTGGTGAGTGTACTAGTGGTGAGTGTACTAGTGGTGAGTGTAGTGATGAGTGTACTAGTGATGAGTGTACTAGTGGTGAGTGGAGTAGTGGTGAGTGTACTAGTTGTGAGTGTACTCGTGGTGAGTGTACTAGTGGTGAGTGTAGTGGTGAGTGGAGTAGTGGTGAGTGTACTAGTGGTGAGTGTAGTGATGAAGTGTACTAGTGGTGAGTGTACTAGTGGTGAGTGTAGTGATGAGTGTACTAGTGGTGAGTGTAGTGGTGAGTGCACTAGTGGTGAGTGTACTAGTGTTGAGTGTACTAGTGGTGAGTGTGTGTAGTACTAGTGGTGAGTGTACTAGTGGTGAGTGTATTTTTGAGAGTAGTGGTGAGTGTACTAGTGATGAGTGTACTAGTGGTGAGTGTACTAGTGGTGAGTGTGTGTAGTACTAGTGGTGAGTGTACTAGTGGTGAGGGTACTAGTGGTGAGTGTACTAGTGGTGAGTGTACTAGTGGTGAGTGTGTGTAGTACTAGTGGTGAATGTACTAGTGGTCAGTGTACTAGTGGTGAGTGTACTAGTGGTGAGTGTACTAGTGGTGAGTGTGTGTAGTACTAGTGGTGAATGTACTAGTGGTGAGTGTACTAGTGGTGAGTGTACTAGTGGTGAGTGTGTGTAGTACTAGTGGTGAATGTACTAGTGGTGAGTGTACTAGTGGTGAGTGTAGTGATGAGTGTACTAGTGGTGAGTGTACTAGTGGTGAGTGTACTAGTGGTGAGTGATGTGCGGGGAAATCTGCCTGTCAGCAGTAGCACGATCAATTCGCAGTGCTTCTTTGCCCCCCCCCCTGCCCCCTCACCTCGTGTGGCACGTCCTATCCGCGCTGTGTGTGTGGCTGCTGGTAGTGGTGGTGGTGCTGGTGGTGCTGCTGGTAGTGGTGGTGGTGGTGCTGGTGGTGCTGGTGGTGCTGCTGGTGGTGGTGCTGGTGGTGCTGCTGCTGGTGGTGGTGCTGGTGGTGGTGCTGCTGCTGGTGGTGCTGCTGCTGGTGGTGCTGGTGGTGCTGCTGGTGGTGGTGGTAGTGTTGGTGCTGCTGGTGGTGGTGCTGGTGGTGCTGCTGCTGGTGCTACTGGTGGTGGTGCTGGTGGTGCTGATGGTGGTGCTGGTGGTGCTGCTGGTGGTGCTACTGGTGGTGCTGCTGGTGCTGCTACTGGTGGTGCTGCTGGTGGTGCTGCTGCTCCTGGTGGTGCTGGTGGTAGTGTTGGTGCTGCTGGTGGTGCTGGTGGTGGTGGTGCTGGTGGTGTTGGTGGTGGTGCTGGTGGTGGTGCTGGTGGTGTTGGTGGTGGTGCTGGTGGTGCTGCTGGTGGTGTTGGTGGATGACCAACCCCTCCCGCGTGCGTCTCGCAGACCTCCCACCTTCTTCGGCAGCAAACCGGGGCCGGAGAAGTTCAAAATGCTCCATCCCGATTTCTCCCGCTACCTACGGAACAGGTTTGAGGTTTTTTTAATCCTTGTTTCAACTTTTTTTATTGAACTTGTTGAAGCTTTGCTCTGCCCGTTCCACTCGGGAGGGTCTCGTCCGGCCCCCCCCCCCCGGCTTACTCTTCCGCCCCCCCCCCCACTTTATTCCTCCGCCATACAAGCTGGGAATCGTACCCCCCCCCCCCCGCCTCGCCCTCCCCCTGTGTTGTTACTACAACAACAGCAAAGCATGAATGTTCTCCAGGAGCGATTTTTCCCATGTAAATGAGACAATAGATGATTTATTTCCCCTCACTACCACTTCCCTGGGCTGTCAACACCCATCCACCATCCACCCACCCACCCAACCAACCACCCAACCAACCACCCACCCATCCAACCACCCACCACCCACACACCCAACCAACCACCCAACCAACCAACCACCCACCCAACCACCCAACCAACCACTCAACCACCCAACCAACCAACCACCCACCCAACCAACCACCCAACCACCCACCACCCACCCAACCAACCACCCAACCACCCACCACCCACTTTATCCCTCGCATTCTCAGCAGCGGGCAAATATAATCAATAATTTAGTTTAATCTTAACTGCAAACTACAAAAAAAATTCACAAAGGTGTCCATCTTGGGGTGGGGTGTATGCCCCCTCCCCTCAATCCCCCTGCAAACTCCACCCCATGAGCGGGCGCTTTTGTTCATGTGCACAGCAACAAATTAAATGAGAGCATTTAATAAAGAAGGGTCTCGACCCCATCTTCAAAGACTTTGGTTTTTGTTTTTATGATCAGGTAGGTCACCTGCCATATTTTTGCAGTTGGGGAGGGTGTGGGGCGGGCGATAGTTTGTTTATTTTACGCGTGGGTTTTGATTATTTTCTTGGCAATGCCGGTGAACTGCCCGGCATGGAAAGCAACTCGCACGCACAACAGGATGAGAGAGAAAACTTTTTTTTATTTTATTTTACCATCTAAGGCCCACTGCTAAGCGACGTAGATCATTGATAGCTCAGCGAGGTGGCTTATCATCATCATCATCATCGTCATCATCGTCATCAGTCACGTGGACATTTTTAGCAGCAGTCAAATGCTCTGAACGCGTGGTGACGTTGATTCGAAATGTGGTGGGTTGGAAAAGCGGAGGAACAAGTAGATTAAAAACTCCACGCGACCACGGGGAGAGAGAGAGACACGCAAACTCCAAATGTACAGCAGCAGGCGTCGGGGTCGGGTTATCGAACCCACGACCTCCTGTAAACCAGGCGAGGTAGTTAACATCTCCACATGCGTAAAGGCACCCGAATTGCGAATCTATCCCAGCCCCCCCCCCCCCTTCTAGCAAAACAAAAATAGGAAAGCAATGAAAGGAAAGCTAGCCACAGTGGTTATTGAGTGACCAGTCCACCGCACACATGGGAATAGCTGTCAACCCCTTATTCCAGACCAATTCAAATCTTATTGGTCACCCGGTGCCCCTTACAAATCTCAACGTCCGTCCTACAAAGTCCCATCGCAAGGAGAGAAACTCACCACTACCACTAGTACACTCACCATTACTGCACTCACCACTATACTCACCACTAGTACACTCACCACTTGTACACTCACCACTACTACACTCACCACGACACTCACCACTACACTATACACTACACTATACACTACACTAATACATACCTACTCTTTAGTTCTATTCGGTAAAGTCACGTAAAAAACAACAAAAAATAATAAAAATTCACGACGTTTCGGCCACAACACAAGTGGCCTTCATCAGGTGAAGGGACCAGACTGTCTAGAGGACAGCGCTGGAGTGAACACAGCCAAGCTCAGACCGCGACCTTTAAGCTGTGTGAGAGGAAGCAGAGCGCCTTGACAAAGGAATTAGCATAAAAATTAGCATTTAATTGGCGGACTCAGCATGATGAATTCCTTTGTCAAGGCGCTCTGCTTCCTCTCACACAGTAAAGGTCGCGGTCTGAGCTTGGCTGTGTTCACTCCAGCGCTGTTCTCTAGACAGTCTGGTCCCTTCACCTGATGAAGGCCACTTGTGTTGTGGCCGAAACGTCGTGAATTTTTTTTATTTTTTGCTTGTTTTTTACGTGACTTTACCGAATATAACCAGAGTATGGATCCTTGCAGTCACGAAAGCTTCAAATATAGAATTAATACATACCTGTCAACCCCTTATCAGTGCCCTACCTTATTACAGACCAATTCAGACCTTATTGGTCACCCCGTGCCCCTTAAAAATCTCAACGTTCGTCCTACAAATTCCCACCGCAAGGGAGAAACACAAACAAATAGACACACATTTATTTTGCGCCTTATTGAAACGGCTTTACGCTGTATGGAACCATACCTGTCAACCCCTTGTCAGTGCCCTACCTATTACACACCAATTCAGACATCATCGGTCACAATGACGACTGCGATGTTATTTTTTTTTCATCCCCCACAGGTTCATGATGTCCTCGCGGCTCAAGGGGCGTCTCCGCGTGATCTACAGGCCCAGCACGGGAGCCATGATGCTGCTCACTGCACTGCACACCTGTGACGTGGTGAGCTGCTCTCGAAACTAAACGCATTTTTTTTTAATAACTAAACTTTTTTTTAAACTATTTTTATTTATTTTTTACCAAGCGCAAGTTCCGCTTAGCTACGCAGCTCTTTTTCAGAAGCGACCTGGCCATCGCGGACGATAGCGCAACGAAGCGGCTTCTTCTTATCATCATCATCATCACGTGGAAATTCACAGCAGCCGACATACTCTACAATGCTTTGATGTTGGTTCTAAACGTGGAGGGGTGAAAAAACCGCAGGGCCCCGTAAAGAAAAAACCCACGCAACCACGAGGAGAGAAGGACATGCAAACACCAAATATACAGCAGGCGTCAGTGTCGGGGTCAAAGACACGACCTCCTGTATACCAACATCTCCGAGCCACATTGGCACTCCCCGGAGCGGCTAACCCAATGCTCTTCATCGCGAGGCCCCGCGGGCCCCTGGCGGACCACTGGGAGGGCTTTAGTGGCGGCCCCTTTACGTGACCACCCCACCCACCCTGAAAATTAGTGAAGAACGCTCAATCAATCATCTGCACTGACCTGCTTCCGTTTCCCTCCCTTGCCTATCCTCCTGCTGATCCTTGCTCTGGCCCCCCAGTAACAACCAGGCCTACCCCAACCCCTATAACTACCCCGATCGCAAACCACCCTTACGCCATGGTGGAGATGTTTACTACCTCGCCTTGTGTACAGGAGGTCGTGGATTCGATCCCGATCCTGATACATGCTCTATATTTGGAGTGTGCGTGTTGTTTTCTCTCCCTGTGGTCGCCTGGATATTTTTCTCTGGGTCCTCCGGTTTGTTTTTCCCCCCCTCCACATTTAGAATCAACATCACGCTCTCAGCGTATATAGCTGCTTTACATTTCCACATTATAACACAGCCACTTCGTTGAGCTGTTTTTGTGGACAGGTCCCTTTTGTAAAAGAGCTGTATAGCTCAGTTGGCCCTACCTGGTAAACTAATAAATAGTTTAGTTAACCCCCCATAATCACCCCTACCCCTATCACCACCCCTATTACCAACCCTATCACTGCCCCAACCCCTCCTTAACCACTCACACCTGTCCTCCTAACCGTCACCAAACAGCCACTTTGAAGAACAACAACACCACTATTTATTTAAACCACTATCATCTAATGTACAATTTTATTATTATTGGAAAACGCATTGGACTCTTAAGACGCTATATACATCTATATAAGATAATAATCGATTATTGCATTGAATTGCAGGCCTCAGTCATGATGAGGATGAATCGTTATTGAACGGTTGGGTCGATTCGCGCGATAGGCTGGGTCATGAAGCCCGCATGCCCAGCCACCGCATGCCCAAGCAGCTTCTATATGGCCAGATAGAGGGGGCTAAACGGGCACGACACGGCCTGGAGAAGAGATGGACAGATGCGGTACGGGAGGATGTGGAGCTGAGTGGACTTACCGAAGACTGGTACCACTTGTGTCAAGATCAGCGTTCATGGAGGAGGCTCATGAAGGACGCTGCTACTGGGCAGTCGGAGCCAGTTGTCTTCCAACAACAATGGAACGCAGAGGAGTGAAGCTCACAACAATGAGGGGAGTGCCTGGTGGCTGAAATGCAGCAAGTTGGCACAGTAGGGGGGCACAGTTGGTGCATCAGCCAGTCATCTCCATCGGTCAACCCATGGCACCTGCTGGGTCTGTCCCGTGGTCTCCTGTGTCAGCGAAACCTTCGACACATCACGTGACGGCCTAAAAAGTGCACCTCGCCTGGCACAGGCGCCGTGGTGACATCGCCGTCGGTCACGTGGCGGAATGACGGCTGTTTGGTGGCCTTGTTCCCTTTCGTCGCTGTCGTCACCGTTGCTGCTGCCGCTGTCGTGATCGCGCGTCCGTGTCCCGCAGGTGGACGCCTACGGATTCCTGACCGAGGACTACACCAGGTACTCGTGCTACTACTACGACAAGGTGAAGCACGCCGTGCCCTTCGTAGCCAACCACGACATGAAGCTGGAGCTGGCGCTGTGGGCACGCCTGCACAAGTCCAAGATGATCCGACTCTACATGGGAAAGGGCGATTGACGCACGACGAACTGCGAGCGTGCTGAGAAGTGGTGGGCTAGGTGGGGAGGGGGGGGGGGGGGGGGGGGGGGGGTGGGGGGGGGGGGGGGGGGGGGGGGGGGGGGAGGGGGTTGGGGCCCGACACGGAGCACCGCATCGCCGCGGTTATCCCGGAGGTCGGTTCCCGCGGACGACGGAGCCGGGCTCGGAGGCGGAAGGGCAGAGCGGCGGGTGGATTCAGGGGGCGTCTCCGGCAAAAACGGCGCTCACCGTGGAGCGGTCTGCCAAAGTGGCTCGCAGCCAGGACGCGGTTCATCCGGTGTTTAGAAGCCCTAATTATTATTATTATTGTTCTTATTGTTACGATGATTCCGCTTGCTTAAGCAGGAAAGCCTCGCTGAGTCTCAAGACTTATTTTTTTCCTTTCCTTAGAATTCATCCTCCGACAAAGTCGGTGGAGTTTAGGCTTGGCCTTGAGTCTTGGAGACCAGCACATGCCGTGGCCTTAATGTAACAAAATAAATGAGTTTCGTAGTGTTTTTGTTGCCTCTCAAAACGCTGGAGAATTTGCAACGCTCGCAGATTCATACACGGAGGCGTGGGGAAACTGCAGATAAGCTGGAAGGCAGCCAAAACTGACACGGTAAAGTGAGAGAAGGGGACTGAAATATGGAGGAGTAAGTTTTGATAGTTTACAGCGGCTGTGTCATGCCACACCCAGGATAACCGTTTTAAGTAGGTGTGTCGAATAAGGTTATCCTGGCCATTTTAGTGCTCATTTAAGGAGTTATGGATCAGGAATCAAGAGAAATAATATCAATTTTGAATGCATGCTCGACTCCACGCTCGACCCCATGCTCAACTCCATGCTCTATCCCATGCTCAACTCCATGCTCTATCCCATGCTGTAGGAGATTGCCAGCAGTGGATTGCCAAAAGGACCGTACACGCGTAAACCCTGCACTCGCATTTTCGCAGAGTACCTATTTATTAAGACTCTCGAGGGAAGTCGAGGGAAACGTTGATGCCTTTAAAGCTTGTTGACAATTTTAAAGTTGGAAAAAAATTCATTATTTTCAATTAATATTTTATAAGGTAATTGGGGGGGGGACGGGGGGGGTGGGGAGCAACTTAACGGTATTTTATTAAGTAATGACAAAAGAGGTTTACATCGTTAGTAGTGTATTTGCACGATGACTTCACACCTGTCAACCCATACGGTTTAATCATATTCTTGTCCAGTGAAATTGAGTTTTCAGGTCCATACGGCGTACAGCCGTTTCAATACTGGCAACATTTTATTTTATATTTGTTTGTGTTTTCCCCTTGTAATGGGACTTTGTAGGATGAACGTTTAGATTTTTAAGTGTCACAGGGTCTGTAATAAGGTAGGGCACTGATAAGGGTTTGGCAGGTGTGCGCTTGTGTGTTGGAGAGTAAACCTGCGACGTTTACACCTATCGAAGTGCCGTGATATTTTCGCCGGTAATTGCAACACCCACCGTGCTCACCGGGCGACAGACAGAGCTCACCGGGCGACAGACAGAGCTCACCGGGCGACGGACAGAGCTCACCGGGCAACAGACAGAGCTCACCGGGCGACAGACAGAGCTCACCGGGCGACAGACAGAGCTCACCGGGCGACAGACAGAGCTCACCGGGCGACAGACAGAGCTCACCGGGCGACAGACAGAGCTCACCGGGCGACAGACAGAGCTCACCGGGCGACAGACAGAGCTCACCGGGCGACAGACAGAGCTCACCGGGCGACAGACAGAACTCACCGGGCGACAGACGGAGTTGCGGAGAAATCCTCAACTCCAGGGGTCCCCAACCTCCGGGCCGCGGACCGGCACCGGTACCGGTCCGCGGCCTGTTAGGAACCGGGCCGCACAGCAGGAGGTGAGCGATGGGCGAGCGAGCGAAGCTTCATCATCATCATCTGTATTGACAGATGAAGCTTCATCATCACCTGTATTGACAGATGAAGCTTCATCATCATCTGTATTGACAGATGAAGCTTCATCATCATCTGTATTGACAGATGAAGCTTCATCATCATCATCTGTATTGACAGATGAAGCTTCATCATCATCATCTGTATTGACAGATGAAGCTTCATCATCATCTGTATTGACATCCGCTCCCAATCGCTCTAATTAGCGTCTGAGCTCCGCCTCCTGTCAGATCAGCGACGGCATTAGATTCTCATAGGAGCGCGAACCCTGCTGTAAACTGCGCACGCGAGGGATCTCGCTTGCGCGCTCCTTATGAGAAGTCAGAATGCGACACTTATTTTAGTCAGCACGTGGCCCGCCCATGATTTCATTGACCACTTCCGTCCGCGCCTCTTTCCCGCGCTGCGCGCTCAGTCTCGGTCACAGTTCTGGTAAGCCCACGAGCTAACCCCTAGTAGCCAAAATGAGTAAAAAAAAACAACAAACGTCGCTGGAGAGCTTCTTTTGAAAGGGGGAAAAGACCCAATGATGAACCTCCCCCCCCCCTCCCCCGGTCTGTGAAAAAATTGTCTTCCACGAAACCAGTCCCTGGTGCCGAAAAGGTTGGGGACCGCCGCTCTACTCCACGAGGTGGGGGGTAAATGTGATGCCGTTACTGTGAGCCGATCACACCAGAAGCGGCAGAGGTGGGGTGGTGGTAAAAGTCTATCATGTAAATTACGACTGATGCGTGCCAATGTGTCAGCGTCGTCCAACGTATACACGTCCAGGCAGCATCGTCGCCACCGCGCGCGCTCGTTGACCCAAGGAGAGCCCCACCCCAGCTCTCAATGCTCGTTTTCAGGAGGGGTCATGCCAAGTTGGAACAAGTAGAGGGGGCGGCGGTGATGATGATGCTGCTGCTGCTGCTACTGCCCGTTTGTACTGCCACTTGAGTCATTTGCGAGTCACTTGGGATGTGTTCTGGCCGGTGCCAGATACGTTGTGTACCGGGAAGCGGTGGTGGAGCGGTTAGCGCTACGCTGCAACTACGAACCTGGCGACCCGAGTTCGATTCCCGCTCACGGCCAACACCACGTGACGATTATCTGAACGGGTCCTGGGCCTCCCCTAGGTCGACTCAGCCTCAAATGAGTAGCTGGTATAGTAGCGGTGGGTAGCAGTGAACATCGCCACTCGCGAGAAAAAGGCTGCCGGGCGTGGTGCTGGCCACCCAACCCCCTCGTGTACCGTTCCGGCCTTCATAGGCGCTGCTCGCTGACAACACTTGCCCCAACCAGTCTGTTAATGCTACACGGGGGGGGGGGGGGATCTTCGTGTGTACTGCTCGTTGAATCATTTTCGAGTAACTTTTCATCAGTGGGACGTGTTGTGTGCTTGGCACGAGTGTCACCACCGTGCCAGCCAACGGCGAAATCGCGTGATCAGCAGTCCCGATAGTTGGGTGGGTTGTGGTGGTGTGGACAGAATGGGTGAATTCTGATTAATGTAATGCTTAAACCTTGTTGTTGTTTTTTATACACTTTGATGCTTTCGGTAAAGTCACGTAGGCATAAAATAAAATAAATCGCGACGTTTCGGGCGCCTGTGTTTCGCCCGAAACGTCGTGATTTATTTTATTTATACCTACTACGTGGACTTTACCGAAATAACCAAAGAGCATGGATTCCTGCAGTCACGAAAGCTTAAAATCAAGATTGTTTTTATTTATTTAAAATTTGTCGAATCGTCGTCGTCGTCCGCGCAAATTGCACCTCGCAATCGCTGACGAACCACAAAACGATCGGCCAAGCTCTGCAGTCCTCCACATATTAAGATGTTCGCAGCCAAGCAATGCGTGTTCATACCATTGAATGAGTTCGTTGACCTCTCCGCTATTAGACTATGTAAAGCGACCAAACGACTGTCTCAGTAGACATGTATAATGTAATTAACGCGGCGTCGGAATCGATGTGAAATGATGTAACTGCTGGATTAATGTTGGGGGGGAAAAAGTTGTTGAGCCGCTGCCGTAACTGCTGCTGCTGTTGTTGGGGTAGCGGTCACGCATAGGTTTACTACATGGCGTGCAATAAACCCAAGTGATTCCAGGCCGTCGCAAATACATCAGTGGTGGGTTTACATTTTAATTATTTCCTGGGGGGGGGGGGGGGATGGGGTGGGGGGGGAGCACGACGAGCGTGGAGGTGAAGTATGGGAGTCAAACAGCATCTATCCCCCGCCCCCCCCCCACCTCTTCCATGACGAGCCTCTCATCCAGCAGTGGATTGACAGCGGGGGCTACGAATTATCCCCGCGGAATTGTCACCGTTCGGGAGAGAGCGTCCGTCCGTGCGTGCGTGCGTGCGTGCGACCGGCAGAAACTGCCCGCGTGGACGCATCACACCACAATCGGTGGCCTCCGTTATTTGTCTTTTTGTAAATTAAAAGGGGGGTTGCGGGGGGACGCCCCCCCCCCTCTCTCAGCCACCCTCTGGCATAACTCCCCACTCCCCCGAGCAGCTCGAGAACGCCTGAGTCTAAAACCGAGGACTCGGCAAAGGGGAGTTCACCCAGATCTGGGTGGCCCTCCTCGTGAATGCCACTCCACAGACTCTGAGTTTACGCGATCGAGGTTGAAATGAGACTGACTCGCCGCCCCACCCTCCCCCAAAGGACAGAGATCAGAAGTTGTACACAGCCCCGCCCACTTCCTTCCTCCCCCCTGTGATTGGATCAATAAAAAACATAATTTACAACAAAAAAGGAGGATTGCTTCGATGCAGCGCGTGTGCGATTCGCTTCGTCGTCGAATGCATGTCGAGGACATCTTCAAGTTCATCGCCGCGAACGTGAACCACACCCCACCCCCCTCCTCGTGCGTCAGTGTCGGCCTTCAGCGGAGCTCGCGAGATGTTAACTACCTCGCCTGGTGTACAGGAGGTCGTGGGTTCGATCCCGACCTTGACGCCTGCTGCTGTATTTGGAGTTTGCGTCTCTCTATCTCATCATCATCATCACGGTGGCTAGGAGATGTTAACTACCCCGGCTGGTGTACAGGAGGTCGTGGGTTCGATCCCACCCGGACGACGCCTGCTGTGTTTGGAGTCTGCGCCTCTCTATCTCATCATCATCATCATGGTGGCTAGGAGATGTTAACTCCCTCGCTTGGTCTACAGGAGATCGTGGGTTCGATCCCGACCCTGACGCCTGCTGCTGTATATTTGGAGTTTGCAGTGTCTCTCTCTCTCATCATCATCACGGTGGCTAGGAGATGTTAACTACCTCGCCTGGTGTACAGGAGGTCGTGGGTTCGATCCCGACCCTGACGCCTGCTGCTCTATATTTGGAGTTTGCGTGTCTCTCTCCCCGTGGTCGCGTGGATATCTTTCGCCCGGGGTCCTCCGGTTTTCTCTCCGTATTTAGAATCGTCGTTTAAGAGTGTTTGGCCGCTATACATTTCCGCGAGATAAGCCACTTCGTTGAGTGATCATTTGTGATAGGGTGGTCGCTTCTGACAAAGAGCTGTGTTGCTCAGGTGGGGGAGGTGGGGGGGGGTCTTACCTGGTAAAATAAAACCTAGCTTAGTTTAGCTCATCGCGCTTTTCTCCAACAGCCTGTATAGGTACATGTGGGGGGATTGGATGGGGGTGGAATCTTTGCCTTTAACTTATTTTGGGCAGGTGCACAATGAGTGGACAAACGGTTGACAGCCAGCGCCGGAGGGATTCGCTCGGTTACCCAGGAAGGCCTCGTCGAGTCTCAAGACTTGGTAATAAGGAGAGGGCCCTGCCGAGTGTTCCCGGCAGGGGCGGGGAGTGATGCTGCTGCTGCTTCTGCTGCTTATTTTTCTGCTTCTGTTTCTGCTGCCGCTGCTTTTTCTGCTGCTGCCGCTGCCGCTTCTGCTGCTTTTGCTTCTGCTGCTTCTGCTGGTTCTGCTACCACTGTCGCTTCTGACGCTTCTTCTGCTGCTTCTTCTGCTGCTGCTGCTTCTTCTGCTGCTTCTGCTGCTGCTTCTGCTGCTTCTGCTGCCACTGCCGCTTCTGACGCTTCTTCTGCTGCTTCTGCTGCTGCTTCTGCTGCTGCTTCTACTGCTTCTTCTGCTGTTTCTGCTGCTGCTATTCTGCGGCTGCTGCTTTTGCTGCTTCTGCTGCTGCTTCTGCTGCTGCTTCTGCTCCTGATCCTATTACTTTGTGTAATCCCAATAGGGCGGTACTAGTGGTGTTTCTCAAACTTGTTTGGCCTGCGGACCACTCAGCCGATGCAAATATTTCCCCGAACCACCCAGCCTCCGCCCAAGCCCTGCTGACAAAAACGCAAAAAATTATCTCTCTACATACCACTCATACAAAATGGTTCTTATTACCGAAACATACAAAAATTACGTAACTAATAAGGTTTTTTTTGTTTAGGTGTGGGGGCAAAGGGTGGGGGGGGGGACATTTTAATTAAAAAATTACTTTGTAAATTAAATATCATGAGCAAAATATTAATTCACTTCCGGAACAAAATGCGTGAGAAAAAAACTTCGTCATTATTGTCCGGATCAACCTGCGTTTGTATGACGGCCACCTGTAAGATCGCCAAGGGGCCTTCGATTGGTGCCGTAGACCGCGATTTGCTGCAGAGTAACCTGCAGTGCCACTTTTCAGCGTTTTGGTTGACGCCGGTTACATTGCGTGGTTGTTTTGTTGTGGTGGTGGTGGTTGTTGTTGTTGTTTTTAGCTCTGGAAATTAAGCGGGGAAGCCGGTGGCACGATTTTTTTACCCCCTCCCCCCTCCTCTCTCGTCACACGGCGTCACAAAAAGTCAGACCCCCCCCCCCCTTCAAATATGACGTCACAAAGCACTGCCCCCCACCAAAATATAAAACATGCTTCAAATCGCTTTAAACTATTGTCACATTGTAGTGCGTATTTAATGTGGCGCTGCACTCTGATGTTGTAGAGGAAAACATTTCTTAAAAAGTATTTTAATTAAGTAGAACGTGTTGTCTATATTTATTTAAAGTTGCGCATTTTGATGTGACGTCACATTTCTCAAACCCACCCGCCCCCCAGGTGCGTGACGTCATTTATGGACGGCCCCACACACAGATAGACGCCCGAGTCGGGAATCCAACCTCGGCCCCTTCCTGCTGCGAGACACGAGTGTCAGCACCGTGACACAATCTGTCTGGTGGATTGGGGTGGTGGTGGTGGGGGGGTAGGAACCAACTCACTTAATTCTACCAATAAAACGTGTTATTAAATTATAAACACAACCTTTGCACTGTAACGAAGGTACTTTGGAAATCTAATCATAGCGACAGTATATCCGATATATCGTGGGACCACTTTGCCAGCATCAAAGTATGAAAAAAACTAGAATAGGCTTCACCCTTTCTGGCAATAAAACAGGTGTTAAGATTTTGATTTAAAGCTTTCGTGACTGCAGGGATTCATATTCTTGGTTCTTTCGGTAAAGTCACGTAGAAGGGAAGCAATAAAATAATAAAAATATAAAACAAAAAAATAATAAAAATATAAAACAATAAAATTCTCACGACGTTTCGACTGCAACACAAGCAATCATCATCAGGTGTTAAAACCACAACAAGAAAATTTTTAAAAAGTGACTGCTTGTGTTGCAGTCGAAACGTCGTGAGAATTTTATTGTTTTATATTTTTATTATTATTTTATTGTTTCCCTTCTACGTGACTTTACCGAAAGAACCAAGAATACGTGTTAAGATGTATATATTGGAGTTAGCTGATGATGAGGCTGCGTACGGTGCAAAAGAAGTGCAACACAGATGCAAGCCCAGCCTCAAACTGGCCCAGCCAGTTGCCACTTACGTGACGGAAGTCGATAATGAACCATGAATGGACCACGTTAATAACTGGCTTGGGATCACGTAAGTGGCAAACTGGGTGTTACCGTGTGGGAGTCTGATTTCACTCATCAATTTGGACCCCAGCCTCCACGCTGCTAGCTGGGTCGTCCATAAATGACGTCACGCACTTGGGGGGGGGGGGGGTCAGACATTTGTGACGATGTGTGACGATGTGTGACGAGGGGGGGGGGGGGTTGAGAAATATGACGTCACATCAAAATGCACAACTTTAAATAAATATAGAATTGTTATAACAACACTAATTGTTATAACAACACTCCTACAACATCAGAGTGCAGCGCCACATTAAATACGCACTACAATGACAATAGTTTAAAGCGATTTGAAGCATGTTTTATCTTCAAAATGGAAATATCCTTTTATATTAAGGGGGGGGGGCAGAGCTTTGTGACGTCATATTGGAGGGGGGGTCTGACTTTTTGTGACGCCGTGTGACGACGGGGTTGGGGGGGGGGGGGTCAAAAATAGTTTAAAAAATTGCGTGACGTCATTTATGGACGACCCCAACCGCCTCCACTCTCATCAGTTGCGGCTGGGCCAGCTACCGAGGCAGGAACTGCGAGATGCAGCGTTTGCACAGAGCAGTGGTTCTCAATCGGGGGTACGCAGTGCCACCTGGAGGGGGGTGGGTGGGGTGGTAGGTGTCAATATGCCAGGGGGTTGCGTGACGTGATTTATCGATGCGTGAAGTTAAATATTCGACGTGAGAGTCGTTGGTGAACAATCGTGTTGTATGAATGAGCCAATATATACTTTATATTTTATTTTAAAAAAAGCTACGGTCAAATTTTAATCCACGCGGTAACCTCGATCGACATGAAATACCTCTCTAAACGCACCGATCGTGAACAATGCGGGCTTCCAAGGGTAACTTGAGCTCGAACAAACTATGTCAGAGCGTCCGCTTATTTCGTCTTTTTTTTATTCGCTTGCAGTTACGAGCTTAGGACACGTCACAAAATGGACAATTGGTTAACATTGTTGTCGTTCGTTATTCATAGCTTTACTTCCCGGAATCATGTTGGGTCAGGGCAAGGGGATGGAGCTCGGTTGAAACACGATTCAACAAAGTGGGGGGGGAGGTAACAGCAGTAGCCAACCAAGGTTGAGAATAACCACCGCTCTACAACTACCGTTCACCGAACTACTCGGATCCCGACAACATTATCGAGCGGCATTTGTGTAAGCAAACAAACCCTTGACCGGCTTCGACCTTTAATGGGGATCATCATCAAGAGTCAGGCTCGTTAAACACGTGCCTGCTGCTGAATTAGCCCGATGTCATTGGCGGGAAGCTTTACATCTATACTGTTGGGCCCCTCCTGTGGACCATGTTTGTGGATACTTAAGGCACTTCTGCCTCGACCGGTTTACTCCCACAGCCACGGCCAACTTCAGGATGCACGCGGAGCGTCCGTCGATTGCTGCCGTCGTTTTTATTCGCTTGCGGCAGTCACCAAGAGCTCGTAAGGACACCTCACAAAATGGCCGACAGAATGTGTTAAAGCTATTGATGTTCGTTATTCATGCATTTATTTCTCAGAGCAACGTTGGGTCAGGCAATTGGGGGTGGGGGGTGGGGGGGTTACTATAAAATTTCACGAGGGGGGAGCGCGCGGGGGGGGGGGAGATCACAGCAGAAGCACAAAAAAAATGTTGATAACAACTGTTGGTCTCGAGGTGGGCTCACGATGAACACAATAGCAGCGGGGCCCGCTGGATCCTTGGTATAGCCGTGGCGGGCCCTCGCACGCGAGAGGGCGCTGTTTGACAAGGCGAGGACACGTGGGCCCCCTGACACGGGGGTTACGTCACAAACCCCACCCCCGCCGTCACAGGCCCTCGCACGCGAGAGGGCGCTGTATGACACAGCGAGGACACGTGGGCCCCCTGACACGGGGGTTACGTCACAAACCCCACCCGCGCCGTCGAGGGCTCTCGCACGCGAGAGGGCGCTGTATGACACAGCGAGGACACGTGGGCCCCCTGACACGTGGGTTACGTCACAATCCCCACCCCCGCCCCTCTCGCTGTGAGTCACGAAGGGGCCTCGGTCGCCTTTCCCCCAAACCCCGCACCTCCGATGAGCACGGTTGGCTACGTACGGTCGTGGTAGCGAAATAAGTTCAACGCACACACGTACACACTCACCACCTCGCCACCACTGCTTCGCGTTACTTAGATATGCAAAGCATCACCTCTACTGCATCCGGCCTTACCCACGCCCCCGTCACCCCCCTCGTCTGTCACGGTGCCGGCCTTCATAGGAGCTCGCGACCTGCACCTGCCACAACAGTCTGGTCAGGCTATACGGGGGATATTTGTCTTTGTTTGCGTGTCTATGTGCGTGTGTGTGTTTTTTTGCGTGTGTGTATTTGCATGTGCGTATGTATCTGCGTCCGATTCCCGCTCACGGCCAACATCAGTGACGATTACCTGGACCGATCCTGTGCCTCCCCTAGGTCGACTCAGCCTCCCCTAGGTCGACTCAACTCAAAAACATTTCCATTAGGGAGACAAAGGCGGTTGGGCGTGGTGATGGCCACCCCACCTCCTTGTGTGCCGCTCTGGCCTGCATAGGTCATCGCTAAGAGCACTTGCCCCAAGAGTCTGTTAAGGCTATACGGGGGGATCTTTGCCTTTGTTTGTGTATCTATGTGTGTGAGTGTGTATCTGCGTGCGTGCATCGATGTGTGTATCTGTGCGTGTGTGTATATGCACGTGTGCAACTATGTGTGTGTATCTATGCGTCTGTGTGTATATCTGCGTGCGTGAATCCACGCGTGCATCTGCGTGTGTGCATCTATGTGTGTGTGTGTGTCCACGTGTGCGAAGCGTGTGCGCGCGAACACGCTAGTCCTTCTGCATCGTGCCACCAATGCAGCCGACGAATCCGTTGATGATCTGCACAAGGCAGAGCACAAGCTCTGCCGCGCCAACCGCCAGCAGGATGGAGAAGGTGATGATGTTCCACTCAACAGCGTGCGGGGGTTTATCGCAGTAATCCCACAGGGTGGTGTTCGTCAAGTAGTCGCCCCTTCGAAACACAGACACAGGAGCCCCCAGGGTTAGGGTTTGGAGCATTTCGGTTGCTATAAATGAGCATCCGCATGATGGTGAGCCGCTTCGATGGGCTATCATCACGCGTGGCATGGTTCGCAACTGAAAAAGAGGTACATACAGCTCAGTGGGCCTTACCTGGTAAAATAAACAAAACGATTTAAAGCTTTCATGACTGCAAGGATTCATCTTCTTTGGTTCTTTCGGTAAAGTCACGTAGAATGAGAATAAAATAATAAATTGATAAAATAAAATAACACAATAATGTTCTCACGACGTTTCGGCCACAACACAAGCGGCCTTCATCAGGTGAAGGGGACGAGGCTGTCTGGAGGACAGCGCAATTTATTATTTTATTCTCATTCTACGTGACTTTACCGAAAGAACCAAAGAAGATAAACAAAACGGTTTGTATTGTTTAATGTATATATAGTTTAGCGGTGGGCTGACGAATCGGGCTCGCGAGTAGCACAATGAATGAGCCGTTGGTTGGTGGGGTGGTTGAGCGGACGAAGGAGCGGAAAGCGTAAATGATAAAGGTGCTGCCCCGCATCTGCTTTGTTGGCAGCGCCGCCGGAAGAGGCCTCGACTCGAGGACAGCAACGATAACGAGCGTGGGGGCAGGGGGGGGGGGGGTAGCAGGAGGGGGGGGGGAGCCCCACCCTTTGGTGGCCAAAGCTCCATTTAGTTCCATTTAGTTCCATTTATCAGGTATAGCCCTGTGAGCCATTCGGCTCTTGAATCGGGTGCAACTGCAACAAACTAAAAACATGAACAAGAAAACATCTTAAAGTGACTTTGTGTGACTGTGCAAAACAGAAAATCCAGGAAAAAAAACATCAAAATATTCCTGAAAAAGCACCGTACACCAACGCTGTGTGCAAAAATCCCAGTGGGATGCAAGTCAAACAACAACAACCACAAGACAACTAAGATTAAGGCCCCCTTGTCGACCATCGTGAGATATGTTTTCAGCAATGGTGTAAACAGAGCGAAACACTTATTTAAAACGGAGCGCCTCTACAGCGTTAAATGTTCGAGAGCTGTCGCTGCTGCTGATGATGATGATGATCAGGGTTCGGCAAGCCAAAAACAAACAAACAGGAAGAAACATTTTTTTCCCGAATTTTGATAAAAACAAACAAAACCCAAATCAATATTTAAAGAACCGCGCAATGCACGTGGTTGAAAACGAGACGGTGGTGGTCCTTAATAGACAACGTCACGAAGCAACAGGGGCGGAGCCAGGGGGGTGACAGGGTAGACAATTGTCACCCCCGAAAAAAAATAAAAAAATCGAAAATCTGAAACATTCTGCGTATAAGTGTACGACACTCGGTCTGGCGGACTCCGTGCAACTGCATTGTCAGAGTGTGTCGCCAACCGATGGCGTCTAGTTCAACAGCCTGACTCTCTAACCATTCTTGAAGTTAACATTTGTTGAATGTCACCCCGGGCTGGAAATCCTGGCTCCGCCCCCTGCGAAGCAACAGTCCTTAAAGAGCCACATGTTGCCGAGCCCTGATGATGATCATCATCATCATGATCGTCATTACGTGGTACGAGATTTGTAAAGTGGAAATCGCGCTCGCTCTGAAGAGAGGAGCTAGCGTCAGCAAGCGACCTTACGTTTTGTTGCTTCCTTCGAACGGGTAGATCCATTCATTGTTAACTTCGCACAACGGTCCCGTGAAGAGACCAAGGGCCGAGATGACGATGCAGTACGCCGCTCCCACCCCGCTCAGCGCCGCAAACACAGTGGAGAGCAGCATCTGGGATGGGACAGAAAAGCCAGGACAATTCACACGAGACGGAGCGATCAGGATCGGTATCGGATCCACCGTGGGCATCGCAGGTGCCGCGAGGGGGGTGCGACCGTGTCTGGGTCGCGGGCCTTAGGCCAGCAGTGGAGCAGCTCGTATTTAGAGAGAGAGAGAGGGAGAAAGACAGAGAGTATTGAATGCCATTTGTCACCAGGGTTTGGAGAGGGGGCTGGGTGGTCGTCCGTGGGAATGTTTGCCGAGCGGTCCGCGAGCCGAGAAGGTCCAAGAAGTACCGCTATAGTACGAAAAAATAAAACCTTGGGGATGTGGTTTTCGGAGAGTCGTTCCGACTCTACTCCTCACCCATCAACTGTCAACCGGAACAGGACCGGCGGGCGGGGGGGGGTGGGGCAATGACCAATGCGGCCACCCGATGCCACAAATGGCACCATCAAAGATGCGGCGGCCCTGCGGGTAGCGGGTCCACGGAATCCCAAAAGCCATCGAGCCACATCGGAAACACTCCGCCGCTGATACTGGAATTTTGTAGCTGGTCGCCCCAAGCTATTTTTTTTCGATTTCTCATGGGACGCGAGTAGCTTTGCTGCGCCAATTTCTACGCCCCTTTATTCAATTGCTTCTGTCGTTTTGGCGGTTTTCTGGGTCACCGCTGCATCGCCGGCAAGTGCATTGTCCTTGCACTGTTCGCCTTTTTGGCGAATTTTGAACAAAAATAATAACGATCCTTGTCGGTAAAACTCGCCAAGAGACCTACTGCGCGTTGGAATAACTGACAAGGCGATGTGCAGGCGTCACTGCTGCCACTGCGGAGATACCGCGACGCGCTCGCGGATCAGAATCGGAATCTCTCTTCAGCCCGCAGGAGGAGGAATCCGATAAGCTATGAAGCTCTTTGTCACGGATGACCAGTAGCGGGCGGATGACCACGACGGCAGCCCTCCGGGTTGCTTCTCGTTCATCTAAACCAGGGGTCACCAAACTACGGCCCGCGGGCCGGACACGGCCCACGACGTCAGTCCATCAGGCCCGCCGACGGTACTTGAATTTGGTTGATGAAACGTATGGAACACGAGACGTTGTGATACAATTTAAATTTTAATATTATGTTTGGAATACCGGGAGATCTTCACGCGTGCGGAGACCTCCTGACTGCTATGTTCCTTAAATTTACTATTTTATATTTTAAATTACTGTATCTAGATTTTTTGGTTTATCGTAATGTTTGCTTATTTCACGCCATCCCAAGTCCTTCCCCGGCTCGTGGTAGCTCCGCCTACGCTCTGACGTTACCGTGGTTTCCATGGCAACGTCATGGCAACACGTTACCATGGTTTCCATGGCAATGTCATGGCAACACGTTACCATGGTTTCCATGGCAACACACACAAACACGCATCTCTCCCGCCCCCAGATTTTCCGGCTGGTCAACACAGGTCTGACGCTCCAGAAATATTTACTTCTTTTTGCCTGTCATCCATTTTATAGGTATGTAACAAGGATTTATTTGTTTGACAGTGATAGGTAAGTGAACTACAAGTGTGATTAGAGGTCATAAAGTAACAAACATAGAATAACAATGCCATAGAAGCCTCGTGTTATTACGATAATATTATCCCCAGCTCAGAAAAATTCCCCGGTCAAGGTGTTAATCGAGCTGGTCTCTAGGCTGTTTATTTAGGCCCGCCCTATTTATATATTTTGTAAACCTTATTATGTGATATATTCTATTACCAAAGGTACCTATAAACTTTATGTGTACCTTTGGTGAGCCGTAGCGTCACCAGTGATCCCTGAATCCTCTGCTTTTCTTGTGTTTCAATAGGAAACAATTCAATGTATTTTTCATTTTCAGATCCCGTTTTCTTCACCCGTCATTATGGCTACTAAAAAAAGAAAAGTGAACGCCGACTGTCGCGTTTTCAATGAAGAATGTGGAGTAAAGTACTTCTTCGTGGAAACAAAGGACCAGAAAGCTAGTTGTGTAATATGCAGCGAAAGTGTTGCCGTTTTGAAAGAGTACAATCTTCGGCGTGACTATGAAACAAAACATGTATCAACATATTCAAGGTTTTCTGGAAAGTAACGCTCTGAGAAATATGAGTCCATGAAACGTGGTTTAGAAACTCAAATAAATCTTGATTTAAAGCTTTCGTGACTGCAGTAATTCATATTCTCAGCTCTTTCGGTAAAGTCACGTTGAAGGGAAACAATAAAATAATAAAATATATATAAAACAATAAAAATTCTCACGACCGTTTGTGTTATGGTCGAAACGTCGTGAGAATTTTTATTGTTTTATATATATTTTATTATTTTATTGTTTCCCTTCAACGTGACTTTACCGAAAGAGCTAAGAATCTCAAATAAATCTCTTCACGAGAAAGTTTGCTGAAAATGAATCTGTCACTCGTGCAAGTTACAAAATAGTGCATGGGATGGCAGAACGAGGAAAACCGTTCACTGATGGCAACTTCATCAAAGAGTGTATGATGGAAGCAGCAAATGACTTGTGTCCTGAGAGAGCCGATTTGTTTGGAAGTATCAGCCTTTCGGCAAGTTCAGTTGTGTGGAGAACAGAAGAACTTGGGGAGAACATAGTGCTACAGATACGCGAGAAAGCTAGGAACTTGTTGTGGTATTCTCTGGCGCCGGATGAATCTACTGACCTCTCGAGTACGTCACAACTTCTCGTGTTCATTCGTGGTGTCCATTTGCACTTTCAGATAACGGAAGAGTTGGCATCCGTCTGCGGCATGCATGGAACAACAACTGGGAAAGACATTTTCATGGAAGTGCAAAAAACTTTGCAAGACTATAACTTTCGGTGGAATCAGCTTCGAGGTGTTACAGTTGATGGAGGAAAAAAACACGGCTGGAGTGAGGAAGGGTCTGGTGGGGAAGATCAGGACTCAGTTGGAAGATTTGCAAATTCCGGGCGCTCTGTTCATACATTGCATCATACATCAGCAAGCACTCTGTGGGAAAGACTTAGATATTTCTTGTGCACTGAAACCAGTCGTTCCTGCTGTGAACTTCATTCGGGGACATGCACTCAATCACCGTCAGTTCCAGGCTTTTCTTGAAGAAATGGATTCTGATTTCTGTGACTTGCCTTATCACACAGCAGTGAGGTGGCTCAGCTGCGGTAAAGTCCTGTTTCGTTTTTACAAGCTCCGAAACGAAACAGATGTTTTGCTCACTGAAAAAGATAGAGCTGATCCACAGCTGTCAGATCCTACCTGGCTGTCAAAGTTGTAATTTTTGGTCGACATCACATCCCACATGAATGAACTGAACTTGAAACTTCAGGGAAAGGATAACCTCGTCTGTGATCTCTACAGAATCATCAAAGGATTTCGGAGAAAGCTGTCATTGTTTGAAGCACAACTGGAAGGAGAAAACTACTGTCATTTTCAATTTCAAAGAGTTTTGCGCTACAATCGCTGAAGATGTCAACCTCGATTTTCCGAAAAAGATTATTCTGAGAAGCATTTTTTGAAGAGATTTTCAGATCTTGACAGAATTGAGAGTGGCATTCTTCTGTTCCAGAATCCGTTTGATTGTAACCTTGATGATGTGCCAGTTGAACTACAGTTGGAGCTCATTGATTTGCAAGCAAATGACTTGTTGAAAGAGAAGCACAGAGAAGAAAAAACTTGTTGAATTTTACTGCTGCTTACCTGATGTTGAGTTTCCGAAACTGAAGAAATTTGCCGCTGGTATGGCATCAGTGTTTGGAACAACTTATGTCTGTGAGCAAACATTTTCAAAAATGAAGTATGTGAAGTCAACACATCGAACGAGATTGACTGATGAATATTTGAAAGCAATTCTCTTGATTGGATGCAGAAAATTCCAAACCAAACATTGATGATATCTTGAAAGCCAAACGTCAGTTTCACAAATGTCACTAACCTTTTTTGCTACTTAGTTTGTGAGATTCGGATATGTGCACACTAGGTCTGATGTAACTATCTTTTTGCTAACGTCGCCTTATTTGATAACTTTTCAGTAAATAAATGTGTTGGTTGTCTTTGTTTTTTGTGCATTGCACGCCACTCACCCATGATTAACATGGAATGCTAAACTTAGTCTTTTTGCCCCGAGCTTTCGTTCTGGCTTGCAAGTATTGAACAGAATGATTATGCGGCCCGCGCTCGTCATTCTTGCAGTTATCCGGCCCACAGTGAAAAAAGTTTGGTGACCCCTGATCTAAACGAACGAAATTTCGCTCGCGCAGAAGTTACATTCCGCTCGTTGAAAAGTGCCCCGCGATTTGCCAACTTGGGTGCACGCGGATTTTCGCTCCCAAATTTTCGCTCCCAAATCGAACGGCGGTCGTAAGTCGAGGGGGATACCTGCCTTGGGCTTTGTGTGTTGCAAACGCACCATGCCCTGGACATGCAAATAGCCATCGCGTGTGGTTACTGGGCGTATTCAGCCACACAGCCAACTATCAACTTGATTAAGATCGACAATCATTAACTAGCTCATGGTCCACCCTAAACCGCATCCACTGCACAAACCGTGTCAGCAGCAGCAGCAGCAGATGCGGATGATGCCTCATGCACAGATACTACAAAAGAAATATAAGAAAAAGAATAACAATCGCTAGAAATATTGAAATAATTGAGAAAGAACCCATGCCAACGTTCGCTTGACGTTCGCGTCCACGTTTTACCGAGAGGCTGAACAGCGATCGCGGATTGTTGCCGGGGTGGTGGGGTTGGGTCGGCGTCGTTTACACATGCACTTGCACCACGCTCTTATCAGCTGCGCCGAGATACACAATCATTAACCCTGGGAGCCAGATGGTGCCAACGTGACGCGAGCAAATTATGCACCGAATTTGCGTTTGCAATGGGCGTGGTAAGGGGTGTCGATGGGAGTGATCGTCACCCGCGATCGGCAGGTTCGATTCTTTGCTCTGAACAACGCCTTTGCATTTGTGGATGTGTAGGCTTTGACTTTAACATAGCCATTTCTGTGACCAGTCACAAGCTAATCACTCAGCTATTTCAATGCTAAATTCTCCTGTTTGATTTGTACCAGGTGCCTCTGTGTGTAGGCTTTTGCTTTAACATAGCTATTTCTATGACCAGTCACAAGCTAATCCCTCAGTTATTTCAATGCTAAATTTCTAGTTGCCTCTGTAGATGTGTAGGTTTTGACTTTAACATAGCCATTTCCGTGACCAGTCACAAGCAGCAGCAGCAGCAGCAGATGCGGATGATGCCTCATGCACAGATACTACAAAAGAAATATAAGAAAAAAAATAATAACAGCTATTTGATATGTAAACCCCTTTGTCAAGGCGCCTCACTTCTCCCAACTAGCTTAAAATCGCTACGAATCTTAACATCGTTCATTGAAGCTCTGTCGTCCCGACAGTTCTGTACCTTTCACCTGAAGACGGCTGCTTGCGTTGTGGCCGAAACGTCGTGAGAATTTTATTGTGTTATTTTATTCTCATTATACGTGACTTTACCGAAAGAACCAAAGAAGAAAAAACGCCTTTGCATTATAATAATAATCATTCACTCGCTGCACACGTGACTGATTACATTTCCACGTGATAAACCACGTCGCCTAGCTATCATTTGCGGCCAGGTCGCTTCTAAAAAAAATGAACTGTGTAGCTCAATATGGCCCTACCTGGTGAAATAAAAATCAACATCTTCTTTGGTTCTTTCGGTAAAGTCACGTAGAATGAGAAAAAAATAATAAATAAAATAAAATAACACAATAAAATCATTGAAGCTCTGTCGTCCCGATAGGTCTGTTCCTTTCACCTGAAGAAGGCCACTTGTGTTGTGGCCGAAACGTCGTGAGAATTTTATTGTGTTATTTTATTTTATTTATTATTTTATTCTCACTCTACGTGACTTTACCGAAAGAACCAAAGAAGATGAATCCTTGCAGTCACGAAAGCTTTTAATCGAAATAAAAAAATCAACAGTTTAGTTTCGAAAAGAAGGGGGCTCGGGAGAAATGAGAGAGTTCTCATAGCGCCGAGCGAGTGTAGCTAAGGAAGAGGCTGGCTGCTGTTTGACAGAGGGTCATAATGTCACTCATACACTCGCTCAACAACCCACCTGCATCATCATCGCACTAAATCACTCAATCACTCACCCTCAACATTCATGCATCCACTCACCCACCCGCTCACTCTTGAATTTACTCACCCACTCACTCGCCCACTCATGAATTCACTCACTCACTCACTCACCCACTCACCCATCCACTCACTCATGAATTTACTCACCCACTCATGAATTAACTCACTCACTCACTCACCCACCCACCCACCCACTCACTCACCCACCCACTCACTCACTCACCCACCCACTCACCCACTCCCCCACTCCCCCACTCACTCAATCATGAGTGCCTTTGGTATTGGTGCTAATCATTCTCAAGAGCGCAGGGCGATCATCGCTAAGTAAGGTGCCGCCGTGTTTCAAAGAGGGCCATAGTGTCACTCATCCACTCACTCATCCACTCGCTCACTCACTCGCCAACCCACCTGGACCATTATCTCACTCAATCACTCAGCCACTCACTCACGTAACCACCTATCCACTCACCTGCAGCACTCATTCATTCACTCATCCACTCACTCATCCATCCACTCACTCACCCACCCTCACACGTGGTATGGGCGCTATCGTTTCCATAGCGCAGGGCGATCAATGCTAAGGAAGGCGGTAGCTGTGTTATACAGAGGGGTATAGTGTTACTCAATCACCCACCTAGGGACCGTCCATAAATGACGTCACGCGATTTTTGACCCCCCACCCCCATCGTCACACGGTGTCACAAAAAGTCAGACCCCCCCTCAAATATGACGTCACAAAGCTCTCCCCCCCCCACCCCCCCAAAAAAGAAAACATGCTTCAAATCGCTTTAAACTATTGTTATTGTAGTGCGTGTTTAATGTGGCGCTGCACTCTGATGTTGTAGGAGAAAACATTATTTGAAACATCTATTTAATTAAGTAGAACGTGTTGTCTATATTTATTTAGAGTTGCGCATTTTGATGTGACGTCACATTTCTCAACCTCCCCCCCCTCGTCACACATCGTCACAAATGTCTGACCACCCCCCCCCCCCCCCAGGTGCGTGACGTCATTTATGGACGGCTCACCCACTCACTCATCAACTCACTCACTCACCTACCCACCTGCGCCATTCTCTTACTCAATCACTCAACCACCAATCCACTCACCCTCATCACTTATTCACCCACGCACCCTCACACTCGTGAATTCACTCACCCACCTACTCACTCCCCCCACTCACTCAACCATGAGTCCACGTGGTATGGGCGCTATCGTTCCTATAGCGCAGGGCGATCATCGCTACGGCCAGACACGGCCTGGGGTGGTTTCACAAAGGGGGAGGGGCGATGTCGTTGCTACTGCTGCTCCTGCTGCTGTGTGATCCCAATTGAGTAATTTTCAGGGAATGTTTCAGCATTGGGATGTTTTGGTCACTTACAGTTACGTGTTTTTGTTTTTTTGCTGTGAGAGGAAACCGGAAGAATAAAGAAAACGGAAGAAGCCCTTGAAGAACAGGGGGAGAGAGAGCGGAAACATTTCACGTGGAAAGGTGCCCGAGATTTGAATCTAACCCAGGGCTCGCGCGTGTGTGTGTGTAGCGGTTAGCGTCTACGAACCCGGCATTAACCGAGGTTCGATTCCCGCTCACGGCCAACACCGGTGACGATTATTTTAACCGGTCCTGGGCCTCCCCTAGGTCGACTCGGCCTCAAATGAGTACCCGGTGCGGTGTGTCGTAAACATCGCCACTGGGGAGACAAAAGCGGTCGGGCGTGGTGCTGGACACCCATCCCACTCGTGTACCGTTCCGGCCTTCATAGGCGCTGCTCACTAACAGCACTTACAGTCTGTTAAGGCTACACGGGGGGTCCTTTTTGAAGATCCCCAATTAAGTAACTTCCGTTGCCCAAATTAGAAAAATAATACCGCAAACTACTCAAACACTCCAGCACAGCAACATTGCCACGTCTGTGAAACTATCACAAACCTGCGTCTTCCAAGACAGCGGCGCCTTCCTAGGCGATCACGTCCCCGTGCCACACAGGGGCAGCTGCCGCCGGGGGCGCCCCTAGGCTAGACCACAAAAGTCTGGGGGTGGTCTCACACCAGACTTTAAGACTACCCCGGCCTGCGTGTTGTTAGAAACAGCGGCAATGATCATCCCACGCTGTGAGGGCGATAGCCCCCCCCCGAGAGATCGCGTGCACGTGGCTATTGGAGACTGTCGTTACATCACGTCACGTGCGATTTTGATTGTTTCGCGTTTTCCCCTTTCCCGGCTGGGGGGCTCACCCCACATCGGTTGTTGCAGCAGCAGCCGTGGCCTCCAGCACGCTTGGCCCAGGCGGATCCCGGGCCCACCTGGGGAGGAAGAGAGCGAAGTGGTTAGAGAGGATCAAAGGGATGGAGAGAGCGAGAGCGAGCGAGAGCGAGCGAGCACAACGCAGCCCTGCAATTTCAGAATCAGACGACAGGGACTCCTGTACTTACGAACGTGTTGGGTTCAAGAGGTGTGTTCGTAAGTCGATTTGTTCGTAGGTGCAAACTTTACTCCCGTCGATTCCAAACGTGTTGCACGGCGTGCACACTAAACACGGGGAATGGCTTTAGAAATGTTCTATAATCTCCTGTAGACGTAGATGCCACTGGTTCTTCGTGTTAAGTAGATTTGATGCCACTGGTTCTTCACGTTCTGTGGACGTAGATGCCACTGGTTCTTCGTGTTCTGCAGATTTGATGCCACCACCGAAATGTCTTGCGCAGCGGTTGGACTTACGGCTCTCGGTTCGAATGGGCAAACTGGGCATACGGACGGGTTTGAAAGTTCGTAAGTCGATTGTTCGTAAGTAGAGTATTCCCTGCATTTATTTATACTGCAGGAGGAATCCGATGAGCTATGTAGCTCTTTGTTAACAGTACAAAACATGATAGTAGTGCGAAGCACTATAGTGCGAAGCACTACTATCGTGTTTGCCACCGTGATGATGATGAGAGAGAGAGAGACACGCAAACGGCAAATATACAGCAGCAGGCGTCAGGGTCGGGATCGAACCCTCGACCTCCTGTATACCGGGCGAGGAAGATGACATCGCATCCACCGCGGTACCCCCTTAGACAAATAAAATATAAAAGTTCAAATTACATCCTCCATTTCCATCTAGCGTCACCGCTGCCAAGAAGGGGCTTCACCAAAAGAAATCCCGGATTTTTACACCCCCCCCCCACCCCCAATGCATTGAGATTATTAAGATGTTGTGAATGTTCGTTTTGCCGCTATAGAATTTCCACGTGACGACGAGCCAACTTCGTCGACCTATCAATTCGTGATGGCACAGTGTCGCTTTAAACAGCGCCAGTGGGACCTTGAACCTGGTGAAATTGATGAGAAAAATGTATTCTTGGTTTTTGTCTTGTTTCTACGCGATGTCTGCTTTGCGTGGCCCCGGTGGGAATCCCGTCGCAAACAATATCTGTGATATTTCGATTTAAAGCTTTCGTGACTGCAATGATTCATCTTCTTTGGTTCTTTCGGTAAAGTCACGTAGAATGAGAATAAAATAATAAATTGATAAAATAAAATAACACAATAATATTCTCACGACGTTTCGGCCACAACACAAGCGGCCTTCATCATATTATTGTGTTATTTTATTTTATCAATTTATTATTTTATTCTCATTCTACGTGACTTTACCGAAAGAACCAAAGAAGAGAAATATCTGTGATACTCTGTGTTTTTTTTTCGGTTAAGTCACGTAGGTAAAAAAAATAAAATCTAAATAAAATAAATTAAAATGAAAAAAACTAAATTAAAACAAATCACGACGTTTCGATTTAATTTAGTTGTTTTCATTTTAATTTATTTTTTTACCTACGTGACTTTACCGACAAAAAAACAAAGAGTATGGATCCTTGCAGTCACGAAAACTTCAAATCTAGAAATATCTGCGATATGTCTCAGTCTGTGTGTGTGTGTGGGGGAATTCCCCCCACACACATTGGGGGGGGGGGGTGGGATGGGTGGGAGGCATTGTTAGCGTTATCTCGCTCAAAAGAACGCGATAACGGAGGGCTGGAGCTGGTCGGGGGACAATAAAACGACGCCCTTACTACTGCACACGTTGAGCAGCCTTTGAACTACTACTACCACCACCACCACTACCACCACCACCGTCACTACTGGACGGTGACGTCGGCAACACAATTGGCCAACTCGCCCACGACTGAGGCCACGTCACCTTTCGCACCGTGCACCGGCCGTGCCGAAATCGGCGGACGAAGCAGTATTAACCAGGGCGGCCCCCGGCGAGAGAGGAAAAAAAACGAACCGCGTGCGGTAAATCGCGCTTTCGGCCCGCACGGGCCGCGTCGCCTATGATCGAGCGTGACCCCCTGTAAAAAAAAAACAACTAAAAAACAAATCGAACACGGACGATGGCAAAGTAGCCCCCCCCCCCCCCCCCCCACTTTCTGTCGTCCACACAGAGCCTCTCGTCTCTGCTACTGAAAGCCCGCTACTGCGGTCCGCACAGACCACCGCCACCACCACCACCAACACCGTCAGCTATGCACGTGCGACATTAATAATCATGATGATGATGCTAATTTGGAAGGCGCGCAGTTTTCACTCGCACGGAAGCTGCGGCGCTTGAGGAGCGGATCCCAGCTCAGAGGTGCGCTCAAGTAAAAGTCGAATTAAATTCAAAAAAATTAGTTTGATAAAGCGCTTCAAATTGGGTAGAGAATAATTCGCTTCGAATACGTCGCCTACGATGTATTTATTATCATCTTCTTTGGTTCTTTCGGAAAAGTCACGAATATATAAAAAATCTAATTAAATTGAAAATAAAAGCAAAAATCCCACGACGTTTCGATCGCAACACAAGCGATGAAAACGGCTTGTGTTGCGATCGAAACGTCGTCGGTTTTTTTTGCTATTATTTTACTTTTATATGAAATTTTATTTTATTTTTATTTTCTACCTACGTGACTTTACCGACATAACTAAAGAGTATGACACATTTATACTTAAGCGATCTAACTCCCCCCCCCCCCCCCCCAAAAAAAAAAACTCCTTTATCATTAATCAGTGGGCTTTACCTGGTAAAATAAACAATGTATATTTGTGTAGCTTATAAATCATTAATCATATTTCTATATTAACGATACAAACTACCCTGTGAAGACAAAATTAAAAAAAACTGAAAAAATCGATTCTTCAATCGATTCGTAGCCCTGAGTCACGCCGATTCTTCTCATCACTGTGTGGCTAAGTCTTGAGCAGTGTTTCATTTCGTATCGGCTCCGTCTCCGTTGACAAAGCCGCTGAGGTTTAGTCACAGGCTCAGGGGCTTGAGGCGCACAGCGGCTTCCATAGACACGCGGGCGAGCGAGCGAGTGAGTTAGCGCATCAGTCATGGCACGGCTCGGTTAGAAACATTCAGGCTGTTAGAACAGGGAGAGAACGTACAAACTCCACTTACTCACTCTGCAGACCAGGGAAAGATCACACAAACTCCACTCACTCACTGTGTAGAACAGGGGGAGATCATACAAACTCCACTTACTCACTCTGTAGAACAAGGAGAGAACGTACAAACTCCACTTACGCTGCAGAACAGGGAGAGATCACACAAACTCCACTTACTCACTCTGTAGAACAGGGGGAGATCATACAAACTCCACTTACTCACTCTGCAGAACAGGGAGAGATCACACAAACTCCACTTACTCACTCTGTAGACCAGGGGGAGATCATGCAAACTCCACTTACTCACTCTGCAGAACAGGGGGAGATCATACAAACTCCACTCACTCACTGTGTACAACAGGGAGAGATCATACAAAGTCCACTCATTCACTCTGCAGAACAGGGGGACATCATTAAAACTACACTCACTCACTCTGTAGAACAGGGAGAGAACGTACAAACTCCACTCACTCTGCAGAACAGGGGGAGATCATACAAACTCCACTTACTCACTCTGCAGAACAGGGGGAGATCATACAAACTCCACTCACTCACTGTGTGTGACAGGGAGAGATCATACAAACTCCACTCACTCTCTGTGTAGAACAGGGGGAGATCATACAAACTCCACTTACTCACTCTGTAGAACTGCGAGAGATCATACAAACTACACTTACTCACTCTGCAGAACAGGGGGAGATCATACAAACTCCACTTACTCACTCTGCAGAACAGGGAGAGATCACACAAACTCCACTTACTCTGTAGACCAGGGGGAGATCATACAAACTCCACTTACTCACTGTGCAGAACAGGGGGAGATCATACAAACTCCACTTACTCACTCTGCAGAACAGGGGGAGATCATTAAAACTACACTCACTCACTCTGTAGAACACGGAGAGATTATATAAACTCCACTCACTCTGTAGAGCAGGAAGAGATCATACAAACTCCACTCACTCACTCTGCAGAACAGGGGGAGATCATACAAACTCCACTTACTCACTCTGCAGAACAGGGGGAGATCATACAAACTCCACTCACTCACTGTGTATAACAGGGAGAGATCATAAAAAGTCCACTCACTCTGCAGAACAGGGGGAGATCATACAAACTCCACTCACTCACTCTGCAGAACAGGGGGAGATCATACAAACTCCACTCATTCACTCTGTATAACAATGGGAGATCATACAAACTCCACTCACTCACTCTGTAGGACAGGGGGAGATCATACAAACTCCACTCACTCACTCTGCAGAACAGGGGAAGATCACACAAACTCCACTCACTCACTCTGTAGAACAGTGGGAGATCATACAAACTTCACTCACTCGCTCTGTAGGACAGGGGAGATCATACAAACTCCACTCACTCACTCACTCTGTAGGACAGGGGGAGATCATACGAACTCCACTCACTCACTCACTCTGTAGAACAGGGGGAGATCATACAAACTCCACTCACTCTGCAGAACAGGAGAAGATCATACAAACTCCACTCACTCTGCAGAACAGGGGGAGATCATACAAACTCCACTCACTCTCTCTGCAGAACATGGGAGATCATACAAACTCCACTCACTCACTCTGTAGAACAGGGAGAGATCATACAAACTCCACTCACTCACTCTGCAGAACAGGGACATATCATACAAACTCCACTCACTCTCTCTGCAGAACAGGGGGAGATCATACAAACTCCACTCACTCACTGTGTAGAACAGGGAGAGATCATACAAACTCCACTCACTCACTCTGCAGAACAGGGGAAGATCACACAAACTCCACTCACTCACTCTGTAGAACAGTGGGAGATCATACAAACTCCACTCACTCACTGTGTAGAACAGGGAGAGATCATGAAACTCTACCCACTCACTACCACTCTGTAGAACAGGGGGGGGGGGTTCATACAAACTCCAAATACACAGCAGGCGTCAGGGTCGGGATCCAACGCACGCCCTCCTGCATACCAGGCGAGGTAGTTAACATATCGCCACCGTTGCGTTTATTACGTTTAAAAATAATATACATTTGTCTATTATTAAATGTAATAATAATCAACTATTAATTATAGTTAATCAAATTTAATTAACTATATTTTTTTATTTTACCAAGTAAAGCCCAACAAGATATTTAGCTCTTTTTCAGAAGTTGGCCTGGCCACAAATGATAGGTCTCAACGAAGTGGCTTATCATCATCATCACGTGGACATTTATAGCAGAAGCCAAATACTCTAAACGCGTGGTGATGTTGATTCTAAATTTGGAAGGAAAACAACCGGAGGACCCGGAGAAAAATCCACGCGACCGCGGACACAGAGAGAGAGAGACACGCAAACTCCAAATAAACAGCAGCAGGCATCGGGGTCGGGATCGAACCCCACGACCTCCTGTGTACCAGGCGAGGTAGTTAACAATCTCACCACGGACAGAGAGAGAGAGAGACGCAAACTCCAAATAAACAGCAGCAGGCATCGGGGTCGAGATCGAACCCCACAACCTCCTGTATACCAGGCGAGATAGTTAACAATCTCACCACGGGGAAAGGCAGAGACACGCAAATTCAAATATACAGCAGGCGTCAGGGTCGAGATCGAATCCACGACCTCCTGTATAGCAGGCGAGGAATGTTAACATCTCACCACGGGGAGAGGCAGAGAGACACCGCAAACTCCAAATATACAGCAGCAGGCATCGGGGTCGAGATCGAACTCCACGACCTCCTGTATAGCAGGCGAGGTAGTTAACAATCTCACCACGGGGAGAGGCAGAGAGACCACGCAAACTCCAAATATACAGCAGCAGGCGTCAGGGTCGGGATCGAACCCACGGCCCTGCTGCTTACGAGTGAAATCATCAACGACACCAAAAGAGAACGCACGTTGCTAAACACGCAACTCACCATGATTCCACCGCCCAAGATGCCTCCCAAGCACCAGACGTACTTGCTGTGATGCAGGCCCCAGAACTCCCAGTTGGGGAAGAACTGAATGACATTGACCACGATGCAAACGAGCGAGAGGATGCTCAGGGAATGGCCAATAACAGCGGAGCACTTTCCCGTGCACATCTTTGCGGATCCGTGCGAGGAGACGGACAGCAGCGAGAGACAACGAGAGACAGAGAGAGAGAGATACGTACAAAGTAAAAGTACACCCCGAGAAGGCAAGGACTCAACTTGTGCTCTGACGCACAAAACGGACAAGAGACGAGTTACAGGGCAGGTAGATCGCTCACGCTGTGTTTCGCCCGGATGGCAGATAACACGACTATATATACAGAGAGAGAGAGAGAGATATGTACATGCGTGTGTGTATCTCTCCCTGTGTGTGCGTGTGTGTGTGTGTCTACCTGCCTGCCATTAAGGCCATCGAGTCATAAGGATTGCGCAAGAGAGTGCGCTCATGGGTTTGTTTAGACAGCGAGGTCTGCGCAAACTTCGACCCGCGCGGCAAATCCGAGATAAGGGGATCGGTCGCGAATATTTGCATCAGTTCGAGGGGGCTGCCTGCCCATCCGAGTCCAACGAAGTCGCTTGACGTCAGGAATGGTAAACCCGAACATTTATTTATCTTGGGGAAATCCGATGGGCTATGAGTGTCCAGCAGGGGCACGAGGTCAAACAAGTTACAACGAGAGACAATACCGACAGGGAGTGCAAATGATAGGAAAGGTGAGCAAATCACAATTTTTGTTTACGAAAGAATAACGATTTTTTTATATTTTTTATTTTACCAGGTAAGGCCCACTGAGCTATATAGTTATTTTTTTTCAGAAGCGACCTGTCCATCGCAAATGATCGCTCAACGAAAGTGGCTCATCGTACCACTCATCCGTGGTCGCGCGGATTTATCTCCGGGCCATTCTGGGGTTTAACCACCTCCACATTTAGAAACAACGTCACGCGTTTAGAGCATTTGGCTGCGATACATTTCCCACACCATGATCGAGCCACAACTTCGTTGAGCAATCACTTGTGGCCTGGTCACTTAAAAAAAACACGGGATAACTCAGTTGGCCTGACCTGGTAGAACGACATTAATGGTATGACAAAATAAGAATAATTTTTCGATTTGAAGCTTTCGTGACTGCAAGGATTCATCGTCTATGGTTCTTTCGGTAACGTCACGTAGAATGAGAATAAAATAATAAAATAACACAATGAAATTCTCACGACGTTTCGGCCACAACGCAAGCGTCTTGCAAGCGTCTTGCGTTGTGGCCGAAACGTCGTGTGAATTTTATTGTGTTATTTTATCATTTTATTCTCATTCTACGTGACTTTACCGAAAGAACCAATGAAGAAAAATAAGAATAGGTTTTACCCTTTTAGGATACGAAACAGGAGGCGTTCGGATGCTTAAACACCAAACAGAAACATTTTTTTTTTAAGGAATGAAGTCTGCATTAACCACAGCTACTTGTGGTGAACACTTGTGGTGAACACAAGCACTGTGCGTGGTTAACGCAGACATGATTCCTTGCAAAATGTTTCTATTTGGTGTTTGAACATCTCAACATGAACACCTGTTTTATTTCGCCAGAAAGGGTAAAAACCTCTTCTTAAATTTTTCATGCTTTGATATTGGCCAAAAAGGTCGCGTGATAAAAAAATAATAAGCGTCGTTTTCGTTTCATTTTTTTTTGCGTGTGTGTCATTCGCTTACCTGCCCTATACTTTTCACTGCTGTCGGTTATTTTTTCTTTGTGTGGCTCTGTTCGTCGTTGCAAATTTAGTTTCACCAAAACGCCAAATTGACGGTCTCTACATATCCCATTCATCCGTTCAAGGCATCGGCTCCACAGCGAATGGTTCGACGAGTGGCCACGTACGGTGGCGAAAGAAGTTCATACTCTTAGGTTCTATTGGGTAAAGTCACGTAGGTGAAATATTTTATTTTCACCTACGTGACTTTACCCAATAGAACCAAAGAGTATGGATCCTAGCAGTCACGAAAGCTTTAAATCTAGAAAGAAGTTCACCCTAACTACCTCAACGTTGTTACGAGTGGCGTGCGGTGAGGTCAATGGCTGGGGAAGGCACTGGCTTGTGTCAGAGCCAGATGCACACACTGAGGGGGGCGTGGTCTCACGGAGGAGGCGTGTCCTCACTGAGGGGGGCGTGTTAGACACGTCCCCCCTCAGTGAGGCAGATGTGATAGCTGCCTCCCCTGGTGCTTTTTCATTGCAGTTTCATGACGAGACCAGCGAGCCTAAATATCTTTATACACATACGCGCAATAAGTTACCTGGAGTATGGAAGGCGAGGACATGAAATGAAGGGGTCTACAAACATTACATTGGTGACATACAGAGAGATAGTAGCAGGCACGCGCCTATTGCCCGTGCTCCATCCAGTTACTGAGGGGTTGCGCAATCAGAGGGGAGGCTGAGCTCGTCGCTGCCTCACCTCACCCGTCTCTTGCTGTATTTGCTACGGAGCTCCGCAAATTTGGCGATTTTGACGATTAAAAAAATGATTGGAATCGTACAGAAATGACATTTATAACACAGATCAGTGGAAAAATCTTAATATTTCATTTTTTTACTTTTCGTAACAGCTATTTCCATTGGAGTATGATAGGTGAGGCCCTGCCTCACCCTGCCTCCCCTGACCGCACGTCCCCCGGTTGTCACGAGTGAGCTCAACGAGACGCCCGCGGGTTTCACTGTCTCCGTCACCACCACACATACACACACACGCGCGCGCCCTCTGCAGGCCAAAAGTAGCAGTTCCACAGAGCCGGGACTAAGCCCTCTTCCCTCCCGTCGAGTCACCACCGATTGACCCACTGACATCTTCTCACTCTCTTTTTTTTTACGATCAGAGGAAACAAGACGATGCTCGGTGTAGTCGGCACTTTGCTTCGTTCATCATTTCGGTTTTTTTGTTTTTTTTATGCTTTGCTTTATGTAACCCCCCCTTTTTAAATGAAAGACCCAACAAAATATATTTTTTCTTCTTTTTTCTCTGCTCTCCTTACCCCTTCCCTCTCTCTCTCTCTACCCCCCTCTCGGCCCCTCCTCTCTCTCTACCCCCCCTCTGCCCCCCCCTCTCTCTCTACCCCCCTCTCTTCCTACTCCATTTCGCTCTCTCTCGCTCACTCTCTCTCTTTTTTATAACTACGACAAGTGCTGCATCTGCACGCAGCCCTTCCCACAGTCAAACGGCCTCCGACGGGTAGCTCACAATGTGCACGCACAGAGCTCTCCACCGTCATCTGCCACCGAGCACACGGCCTCCTCCAGCGCCCACCGCTCCTTGAAGGCCGGCACGGCGTGGGTCAGCCGCGCGTGGCGGAACTCCGGCCACACCCTGGCTCCGACCAGAGCGTGGAAGATGCCCAGGCTGCTGGCTGGACGTTGCCCCTCCAGGGCCACCTTCCTCGCCCTCCCCCTCTCTCCTCCCCTGGCTCCTCCCCCTCAACCTTCTCTCCTCCCCTGGTCCCTCCCCCTCAACCATCTCTCCTCCCCTGGCCCCTCCCCCTCTCTCCTCCCCTGGCCCCTCCCCCTCAACCTTCTCTCCTCCCCTGGCCCCTCAACCTTCTCTCCTCCCCTGCCCCTCCCCCTCTCTCTTCTCTCCTCCCTTGGCCCCTCCCCCTCAACCTTCTCTCCTCCCCTGCCCTCCCCCTCTCTCATCTCTCCTCCCCTGCCCCCCCCCCTCAACCTTCTCTCCTCCCCTGCCCTCCCTCTCTCTCTTCTCTCCTCCCCTGGCCCCTCCCCCTCAACCGTCTCTCCTCCCCTGGCCCCTCCCCCTCAACCTTCTCTCCTCCCCTGGCCCCTCCCCCTCTCTCTTCTCTCCTCCCCTGGCCCCTCCCCCTCAACCGTCTCTCCTCCCCTGGCCCCTCCCCCTCTCTCCTCCCCTGGCCCCTCCCCCTCAACCTTCTCTCCTCCCCTGGCCCCTCAACCTTCTCTCCTCCCCGGGCCCCTCCCCCTCTCTCTTCTCTCCTCCCCTGGCCCCTCCCCCTCTATCTTCTCTCCTCCCCTGGCCCCTCCCCCTCTCTCTTCTCTCCTCCCTTGGCCCCTCCCTCTCTCTCTTCTCTCCTCCCCTGGCCCCTCCCCCTCTCTCTTCTCTCCTCCCCTGGCCCCTCCCCCTCAACCTTCTCTCCTCCCCTGCCCCTCCCCCTCTCTCTTCTTTTTATGTTTTATCTCCCCGTTCGCTCTGTCCACACGTTGGACGGGAAGATCAAAGCGTCGAGACACAGGTCACCAGTATCGCTACGGGCAAAGCCTGGCGCTGCTGATGAGACGATCATTGTCAAAACCGGTTCAACGTTGAGCTTGTGCCGAACTAAATGGTTCATGCAAGCCTGGCCCTGCTGATGAGACGATCATTGTCAAAACCGGTTCAGCGTTTTGCTTGTGCCGAACTAAATGGTTCAAGCAAGCCTGGCCCTGCTGATGAGACTATTATTGTCAAAACCGGTTCAGCGTTTCGCTTGTGCCGAACTAAATGGTTCAAGCAAGCCTGGCCCTGCTGATGAGACTATTATTGTCAAAACCGGTTCAACGTTGAGCTTGTGCCGAACTAAATGGTTCAAGCAAACCTGACCCTGCTGATGAGACCATCATTGTCAAATCCGGTTCAGCGTTGAGCTTGTGCCGAACTAAATGGTTCAAGCAAGCCTGGCCCTGCTGATGAGACTATTATTGTCAAAACCGGTTCAGCGTTTTGCTTGTGCCGAACTAAATGGTTCAAGCAAGCCTGGCCCTGCTGATGAGACTATTATTGTCAAAACCGGTTCAGCGTTTCGCTTGTGCCGAACTAAATGGTTCAAGCAAGCCTGGCCCTGCTGATGAGACGATCATTGTCAAAACCGGTTCAGCGTTGAGCTTGTGCCGAACTAAATGGTTCAAGCAAGCCTGGCCCTGCTGATGAGACGATCATTGTCAAAACCGGTTCAGCGTTGAGCTTGTGCCGAACTAAATGGTTCAAGCAAGCCTGGCCCTGCTGATGAGACTATTATTGTCAAAACCGGTTCAGCGTTTTGCTTGTGCCGAACTAAATGGTTCAAGCAAGCCTGGCCCTGCTGATGAGACTATTATTGTCAAAACCGGTTCAGCGTTTCGCTTGTGCCGAACTAAATGGTTCAAGCAAGCCTGGCCCTGCTGATGAGACGATCATTGTCAAAACCGGTTCAGCGTTGAGCTTGTGCCGAACTAAATGGTTCAAGCAAGCCTGGCCCTGCTGATGAGACTATTATTGTCAAAACCGGTTCAGCGTTTTGCTTGTGCCGAACTAAATGGTTCAAGCAAGCCTGGCCCTGCTGATGAGACTATTATTGTCAAAACCGGTTCAGCGTTTCGCTTGTGCCGAACTAAATGGTTCAAGCAAGCCTGGCCCTGCTGATGAGACGATCATTGTCAAAACCGGTTCAGCGTTGAGCTTGTGCCGAACTAAATGGTTCAAGCAAGCCTGGCCCTGCTGATGAGACGATCATTGTCAAAACCGGTTCAGCGTTGTGCTTGTGCCGAACTAAATGGTTCAAGCAAGCCTGGCCCTGCTGATGAGACTATGAGTGACAGCAGCATAAATCAGCTGAGTGACATCCGGATCAATGAGCCGAACCAAGCGACAGCCGCGTCGATCAGCTGACCAGCGTGCGCGTGACTCGCGAAGCCAGCCGTTGCCCCGCGCCGCGCACGTGACCGCCCCCCCCCCTCCCGCCGATCAGCTGTTGCCCCGCGTCACGTGACCACCCCCGATCAGCTGTAGCCCCGCGCCGCACGTGACCGCCCCGCCCCGCCCCGCCCCGCCCCCCCGCGATCAGCTGTTGACGAGGAAGCGCATCCAGACAGAGCCCCCAAGTCACCGCGTGTCTCGCCTCTCGCCATGGCCTCGCTCTGCATCAGCGCCCGCGGTCGACGCTCCGCGCTGGCTTTGCCGTCGCCGTCGCCGCTGCTGCTGCCCCTGCTGCCCCTGCTGCTGCTCCTCCTCTGCTGCGGCTGCAGCTGCTGGGGGCAGCTGCGCGGGGCAGCGTCGGGGTCGCAGCCTTCGAGGTGGAGGTGGTGGAGGAGGCCGCCCGTGGCGGCTCCCGAGGCCTCCGCGGGGCTGTGGTTCCAGCAGAGGTTGGACCACTTCAACGCGGCCGACGCGCGGTTGTGGAGCCAGGTGATGATTGTCCGGAGCCGCGCTCCGCTGCTGGATGAGAGCCACACTCCACTGCTGGATGAGAGGCACACCACTGCCACACTCCACTGCTGGATGAGAGGCACACCACTGCCACACTCCACTGCTGGATGAGAGCCACACTCCACTGCTGGATGAGAGGCACACCACTGGCCACACTCCACTGCTGGATGAGAGCCACATCACTGCCACACTCCACTGCTGGATGAGAGGCACACCACTGCCCACACTCCACTGCTGGATGAGAGGCACACCACTGGCCACGCTCCACTGCTGGATGAGAGCCACATCACTGCCACACTCCACTGCTGGATGAGAGTCACATCACTGCCACACTCCACTGCTGGATGAGAGGCACACCACTGGCCACGCTCCACTGCTGGATGAGAGCCACATCACTGCCACACTCCACTGCTGGATGAGAGGCACACCACTGCCACACTCCACTGCTGGATGAGAGCCACATCACTGCCACACTCCACTGCTGGATGAGAGGCACACCACTGCCACACTCCACTGCTGGATGAGAGCCACACTCCACTGCCACACTCCGCTGCTGGATGAGAGCCACACTCCACTGCTGGATGAGAGTCACATCACTGCCACACTCCACTGCTGGATGAGAGGCACACCACTGGCCACACTCCACTGCTGGATGAGAGCCACACTCCACTGCCACACTCCACTGCTGGATGAGAGGCACACCACTGGCCACACTCCACTGCTGGATGAGAGCCACACCACTGGCCACACTCCACTGCTGGATGAGAGGCACACCACTGCCACACTCCACTGCTGGATGAGAGCCACACTCCACTGCTGGATGAGAGCCACATCACTGCCACACTCCACTGCTGGATGAGAGGCACACCACTGGCCACACTCCACTGCTGGATGAGAGCCACACTCCACTGCCACACTCCACTGCTGGATGAGAGGCACACCACTGGCCACACTCCACTGCTGGATGAGAGGCACACCACTGCCACACTCCACTGCTGGATGAGAGGCACACCACTGCCACACTCCACTGCTGGATGAGAGGCACACCACTGGCCACACTCCACTGCTGGATGAGAGGCACACCACTGCCACTCTCCACTGCTGGATGAGAGGCACACCACTGCCACACTCCACTGCTGGATGAGAGGCACACCACTGCCACACTCCACTGCTGGATGAGAGCCACACCACTGGCCACGCTCCGCTGCTGGATGAGAGCCACATCACTGCCACACTCCACTGCTGGATGAGAGCCACACCACTGGCCACACTCCACTGCTGGATGAGAGCCACAGATCAGTTCAGCAAGGCACCCCCGCTAACACGCACGTCTGTACGCCGTCGCGGGCCGGCGGGGGGGAGTAAATACCTCGATTAGCGCGGTTGGCTACCTACGGCGTACGGTGCGAAAGAAGTTCAGCATGCATACAGAGTGCTTACAGATGTGGGGTAAATAGTGGGGGGGGGGGGGGCGCTCGCGCGCTCGTGAACAAAAGCTGCTAACTTCGTCCCTGCCGCATCTGTGGCGACGACTCGAACAGCAGCGAGTGTTGTTGGCAGAGCGAGACCCCCCCGGGGTTGAACGTTCACCTTGTTCACTGGGTTGTTCACCGTGTTGTTCGCCAGGTTGTTCACTTTGTTCACTGGGTTGTTCGCCGTGTTGTTCGCCAAGTTGTTCACCGTGTTGTTCGCCAGGTTGTTCACTTTGTTCACTGGGTTGTTCGCCGTGTTGTTCACTAGATTGTTCACTTTGTTCACTGGGATGTTCACCAGGTTGTTCACCGTGTTGTTCACTAGATTGTTCACTTTGTTCATCAGGATGTTCACCAGGTTGTTCGCCGTGTTGTTCACTAGATTGTTCACTTTGTTCACTGGGATGTTCACCAGGTTGTTCACCGTGTTGTTCACTAGATTGTTCACTGGGTTGTTCGCCGTGTTGTTCGCCAAGTTGTCCACCGTGTTGTTCACTAGATTGTTCACTTTGTTCACTGGGTTGTTCACCGTGTTGTTCACCAGGTTGTTAACTTTGTTCACTGGGATGTTCACCGTGTTCACCGTGTTGTTCACTAGATTGTTCACTTTGTTCACTGGGATGTTCACCGTGTTGTTCACCGTGTTGTTCACTAGATTGTTCACCTTGTTCACTGGGTTGTTCACCGTGTTGTTCGCCAAGTTGTTCACCGTGTTGTTCACTAGATTGTTCACTTTGTTCACTGGGTTGTTCGCCGTGTTGTTCACCAGGTTGTTCACTTTGTTCACAGTGTTGTTCACCTTGTTCACTAGATTGTTCACCTTGTTCACTGGGTTGTTCGCCGTGTTGTTCACTAGATTGTTCACCTTTTTCACTGGGTTGTTCGCCGTGTTGTTCACTAGATTGTTCACCTTGTTCACTGGGTTGTTCACCGTGTTGTTCACCAGGTTGTTCACTTTGTTCACAGTGTTGTTCACCTTGTTCACTAGATTGTTCACCTTGTTCACTGGGTTGTTTGCCGTGTTGTTCACTAGATTGTTCACCTTTTTCACTGGGTTGTTCGCCGTGTTGTTCACTAGATTGTTCACTTTGTTCACTGGGATGTTCACCAGGTTGTTCACCGTGTTGTTCACGAGATTGTTCACTTTGTTCACCGGGATGTTCACCAGGTTGTTCACCGTGTTGTTCACTAGATTGTTCACTTTGTTCACCGGGATGTTCACCAGGTTGTTCACCGCGTTGTTCACTAGATTGTTCACTGGGATGTTCACCAGGTTGTTCACCGTGTTGTTCACTAGATTGTTCACTTTGTTCACCGTGTTGTTCACCTTCTTCACCGTGTTGTTCACTAGATTGTTCACTTTGTTCACCGTGTTGTTCACCTTCTTCACCGTGTTGTTCACTAGATCGTTCACTTTGTTCACCATGTTGTTCACCTTGTTCACCGTGTTGTTCACTGGATCGTCCACTTTGTTCACTGGGTTGTTCACCATGTTGTTCACCGTGTTGTTCACTAGATCGTTCACTTTGTTCACCGTGTTGTTCACCGTGTTGTTCACTAGATCGTTCACTTTGTTCACTGGGTTGTTCACCATGTTGTTCACCGTGTTCACTAGATTGTTCACTTTGTTCACCATGTTGTTCACCGTGTTGTTCACTAAATCGTTCACTTTGTTCACTGGGTTGTTCGCCAAGTTGTTCACCGTGTTGTTCACTAGATCGTTCACCTTGTTCACTGGGTTGTTCGCCAAGTTGTTCACCGTGTTGTTCACTAGATTGTTCACTTTGTTCACCATGTTGTTCACCGTGTTGTTCACTAGATCGTTCACTTTGTTCACTGGGTTGTTCGCCAAGTTGTTCACCGTGTTGTTCACTAGATCGTTCACTTTGTTCACTGGGTTGTTCACCAAGTTGTTCACCGTGTTGTTCACTAGATCGTTCACTTTGTTCACTGGGTTGTTCGCCAAGTTTTTCACCGTGTTGTTCACTAGATTGTTCACTTTGCTCACCATGTTGTTCACCGTGTTGTTCACTAGATCGTTCACTTTGTTCACTGGGTTGTTCACCAAGTTGTTCACCGTGTTGTTCACTAAATCGTTCACTTTGTTCACTGGGTTGTTCGCCAAGTTGTTCACCGTGTTGTTCACTAGATTGTTCACTTTGTTCACCATGTTGTTCACCGTGTTGTTCACTAGATCGTTCACTTTGTTCACTGGGTTGTTCGCCAAGTTGTTCACCGTGTTGTTCACTAGATCGTTCACTTTGTTCACTGGGTTGTTCACCAAGTTGTTCACCGTGTTGTTCACTAGATCGTTCACTTTGTTCACTGGGTTGTTCGCCAAGTTGTTCACCGTGTTGTTCACTAGATTGTTCACTTTGCTCACCATGTTGTTCACCGTGTTGTTCACTAGATCGTTCACCTTGTTCACTGGGTTGTTCGCCAAGTTGTTCACCGTGTTGTTCACTAGATCGTTCACCTTGTTCACTGGGTTGTTCGCCAAGTTGTTCACCGTGTTGTTCACTAGATCGTTCACTTTGTTCACTGGGTTGTTCGCCAAGTTGTTCACCGCTGAACTTCGCTCGTGCCCCCCCCCCCCCTTGTTTTCTGCCGCCAGCGGTACTTCATGAACGACACGTTCCACAAGCCCGGGGGCCCCGTCCTGCTGATGGTCGGCGGCGAGGGCCCCGCCAACGCGGCGTGGATGTGCCAGGGCACGTGGCTGGAGTACGCCCGTCGCCTCGGAGCCATGTGCCTCATGCTGGAGCATCGCTTCTACGGGCAGAGCCACCCCACGGCGTGAGTGCCCCCCACGAGTACTACCACGGCCCCCCCCCCACAACCACCACCACCACCAAGGCCGTAGCCATGGAGTCAACATTGGGGGCGGACCAAATCTTCCAGGGGGTCCTAACACAGAAAAAAAAACAGAATCTCAATTTGGAAACTCATTTCCTGCCTAATTTTTTTTTAAGATTCACTAACGCATGGGATGGACTTTTTATTTATTTTTTTACAAAAATGTAGAGTATTGTATTACATTGCTCTGTTTTTAGTTTTTTTTTTGTTACTATTTCTTGTTTCATTGTATGTCATGGCAGATATTAGGGATTCATAAAGTGCAACCATAACCACAATCATATAAACAGAAATCTATGCATTGGTTTATATGAAGACAAGTCCTGATATTGTGGCCAAGGTTTAGCAAATTGTTATTTTTATTTACATAGCATAGCAATTAATTTTTTTATACCAAAATATTGGGGGTGACATTTTGAGCATATTTTAATATATAGTGGGGGATGTGTCCCCCCCACTATACACAACACTATACACTACACCACTATACACTACACTACTATACACTACACTACTATACACTACACTACTATACACTACACCACTATACACTACTATACACTACACTATACACTACTATACACTACACTACTATACACTACACTACTATACACTACACTATACACTACACTATACACTACACTATACACTACTATACACTACACTATACACTACACTATACACTACTATACACTACACTACTATACACTACACTATACACTACTATACACTACACTATACACTACTATACACTACACTATACACTACTATACACTACACTACTATACACTACACTACTATACACTACACTATACATTACTATACACTACACTATACACTACTATACACTACACTATACACTACTATACACTACACTATACACTACTATACACTACACTATACACTACTATACACTACACTATACACTACTATACACTACACTATACACTACTATACACTACACTATACACTACTATACACTACACTATACACTACACTATACACTACTATACACTACACTATACACTACTATACACTACACTATACACTACTATACACTACACTACTATACACTACACTACTATACACTACACTACTATACACTACACTACTATACACTACACTATGCGCTACACTACTATAAGCATTTCTATCCACTCTACTATACACTACACTAATATACACTACACTACTATACACTACACTACTATACACTACACTACTATACACTATACTACTATACACTACACTACTATACACTCCACTACTATACACTACTATACACTACACTACTATACACTCCACTACTATACACTCCACTACTATACACTACACTACTATACACTACACTACTATACACTAAACTATACACTACACATTGGGCTATATGGAGGCCCGTCATTAGGCGATTAGTCGTCAACAGGGATGGTCGTTAAGAGGGGTCCTACTGGCCTGCGTAAGTGCACCGCAAGCACCTAGCCGGGTACAAACAAGTTCTGAAAATCAGAATAGTGAAATAAATAAATAAAATCAGATTTTATTTTTTTTACCCAATGAATACATCGTGGTGACGGATGCCGTTAGTTTACCGCTGCACGATTCGTCATGCACTTTCCTCCCTGTCTTGCTCCAGACCTCTGGAGTAAGTGCGCACCTTTCCGGCATGCCGATCTCTGATGTCGTCCGCTGGGGTCTTCCTCTCGTGCAGACACAGCCGGGAATCCGTTGTGAACGCAAACAGAAACAAATAATCTCATCTCTACCGGCGTAACTTGAAATTAATTCAACCCACAGGCCTCCGTGCCCCTCCTCCCCCCTCCCACCTCCTCCTCCCCCCTCCCTCCTCCCCCTCCCCCCTCCCTCCTCCTCGCCCCTCCCTCCTCACCCTTCCCCCTCCCTCCTCCTTCCTACTCCTCCCTCCTCCCCCTTCCCCCTCCCTCCTCCTCCTCCCCCCCTCTCCCTCCTCCTCCCCCCTCCCTCCTCCTCGCCCCTCCCTCCTCCCCCTTCCCCCTCCCTCCTCCCTCCTCCTCCTCCTCCCCTCTCCCTCCTCCCCCTCCCTCCTCCCCCTCCCTCCTCCTTCCCCCTCCCTCCTTCTCCCCCCTCCCTCCTCCTTCCCCCTCCCTCCTCCTCCCCCCTCCCTCCTCCCTCCTCCTCGCCCCTCCCTCCTCCCCACTCCCTCCTCCTCCTCCCCCCTCCCTCCTCCCTCCTCCTTCCCCCTCCCCCTCCCTCCTCCCTCCTCCCCGAGCAATTTCAGCGCGCAGAACCTGCGCTACCTGAGCATCTCGCCCGGCGCAACTTGAACTCACTTAGACCCCCCTCCTCCCCCACCCTCCCCCACCCTCCCCCCCCCCACCCCCCCCCCCCACCGCCAGCAACGTGAGCGTGGAGAACCTGCGCTACCTGAGCATCTCGCCCGGTGTAACTTGAACTCACTTAGACTCCCCTCCTCCCCCCCCCTCCCCCTCCCCCCCCCCCCCACCGCCAGCAACGTGAGCGTGGAGAACCTGCGCTACCTGAGCATCTCGCCCGGTGTAACTTGAACTCACTTAGACCCCCACCCGCCTCCCCCCCCCCCCCCCACCGCCAGCAACGTGAGCGTGGAGAACCTGCGCTACCTGAGCATCTCGCCCGGTGTAACTTGAACTCACTTAGACCCCCCTCCTCCCCCACCCTCCCCCACCCCCACCGCCAGCAACGTGAGCGTGGAGAACCTGCGCTACCTGAGCAGCGAGCAGGCGCTGGCCGACCTCGCCCACTTCCGGCGCGAGGTGAGCGTGGCGCTGCCCCGGCTGGCGGGTGCCAAGTGGGTGGCCGTGGGGGGGGCTCCTACCCCGGATCGCTGGCCGCGTGGCTCCGCCTCAAGTACCCCCACCTGGTGCACTCGGCCATCGCGAGCAGCGCGCCACTCAACGTCACCGTCAATTTCCCCGGTGAGGGCTCCTCGGGGGGGGGGGGGGGGGGGGGGCGGTGGGGGGGTGGGGGTGGGGGGGGGGCTTTCACGAACGGATTTTCGTTGTTGGTCGTGGCGGGGAAGGGTTTGGATCGCGTCGGTTTTAACGGGTAAGCAGGATTTCGCGAGCGATGTCATCCGCGGTAGAGGTTTGTTTGGGTTGCACCGCGTAAACGTGTAAAATGTGTCGTTAGAAATCCGCCAGCACCCGACACGGCCAACTAGTTAAGGGTTTTGATTTAAAGCTTTCGTGACTGCAGTAATTCATATTCTTAGTTTTTTCGGTAAAGTCACATTGAAAAGAAACAACAAAATAATAAAATATATATTATAAATATATAATATAAAATAATAAATATATATTATACATATATATTATATATATTATAAATATATATTATAAATATATATTATATATAATATAAAATATATTATAAATATATATAATATATTTTATTATTTTGTTGTTTCTCTTCAACGTGACTTTACCGAAAAAACTAAGGATATAGTTAAGGGTTGTCGCGTAAACGGAACGTGGCCAATTCGTCACTAGTGCAGCACTAGTGTCTAGTGTATAGTGTAGTGTATAGTGTAGTATACTAGTACAGCACTAGTGTGTAGTGTATAGTGTAGTGTATAGTGTAGTATACTAGTACAGCACTAGTGTGTAGTGTATAGTGTAGTGTATAGTAGTGCATAGTGTAGTATACTAGTACAGCACTAGTGTATAGTGTAGTGTATAGTGTAGTATACTAGTGCAGCACTAGTGTGTAGTGTATAGTGTAGTGTATATTAATGTATAATGTAGTATACTAGTACAGCACTAGTGTATAGTGTAATATACTAGTACAGCACTAGTGTATAGTGTTGTGTATAGTGCAGTATACTAGTACAGCACTAGTGTGTAGTGTATAGTGTAATATACTAGTACAGCACTAGTGTGTAGTGTATAGTGTAGTGTATAGTGTAGTATACTAGTACAGCACTCCGGTGTGTAGTGTATAGTGTAGTATACTAGTACAGCACTAGTGTGTAGTGTATAGTGTAATATACTAGTACAGCACTAGTGTGTAGTGTATAGTGTAGTGTATAGTGTAGTGTATAGTGTAGTATACTAGTACAGCACTAGTGTGTAGTGTATAGTGTAATATACTAGTACAGCACTAGTGTGTAGTGTATAGTGTAGTATACTAGTACAGCACTAGTGTCTAGTGTATAGTGTAGTATACTAGTACAGCACTAGTGTGTAGTGTATAGTGTAGTGTATAGTAGTGCATAGTGTAGTATACTAGTACAGCACTAGTGTATAGTGTAGTGTATAGTGTAGTATACTAGTGCAGCACTAGTGTGTAGTGTATAGTGTAGTGTATAGTGTAGTGTATAGTAATGTATAATGTAGTATACTAGTACAGCACTAGTGTATAGTGTAATATACTAGTACAGCACTAGTGTGTAGTGTATAGTGTAGTGTATAGTGTAGTGTATAGTGTAGTGTATAGTGTAGTATACTAGTACAGCACTAGTGTATAGTGTATAGTGTAGTGTATAGTGTAGTATACTAGTACAGCACTAGTGTATAGTGTAGTGTATAGTGTAGTATACTAGTGCAGCACTAGTGTGTAGTGTGTAGTGTATAGTAGTGTATAATGTAGTATACTAGTACAGCACTAGTGTGTAGTGTATAGTGTAATATACTAGTACAGCACTCCTGTGTGTAGTGTATAGTGTAGTATACTAGTACAGCACTAGTGTGTAGTGTATAGTGTAGTGTATAGTGTAGTATACTAGTACAGCACTAGTGTGTAGTGTATAGTGTAATATACTAGTACAGCACTAGTGTGTAGTGTATAGTGTAGTGTATAGTGTAGTGTATAGTGTAGTGTATAGTGTAGTGTATAGTTTAGTATACTAGTACAGCACTAGTGTATAGTGTAGTGTATAGTGTAGTATACTAGTACAGCACTAGTGTATAGTGTAGTGTATAGTGTAGTATACTAGTACAGCACTAGTGTATAGTGTAGTGTATAATGTAGTATACTAGTACAGCACTAGTGTGTAGTGTAGTGTATAGTGTAGTGTATAGTGTAGTGTATAGTGTAGTGTATAGTGTAGTGTGTAGTGTATAGTAGTGTGTAGTGTAGTATACTAGTGCAGCACGCCGGTGTGTTGGAGAGTCGAGCGACAACATTTACAAACTGAGAACGACGTTTTGTCAGTAATTGCAACCAGCTTTTGTCGCCTGATGAAGCTGGTTGTAATTACTGCGAAACGTCGTACTCAGTTTGTAAATGTTGTGGCTTGGCTCTCCAACACACCGGTGTGCTGCTCTAGTATACTACACTATACACTACACTATACACTACACTATACACTACACTACACTATACACTACACTATACACTACACACTAGTGCTGTACTAGTATACTACACTATACACTACACACTAGTGCTGTACTAGTATACTACACTATACACTACACACTAGTGCTGTACTAGTATACTACACTATACACTACACACTAGTGCTGTACTAGTATACTACACTATACACTACACTATACACTACACTACACACTAGTGCTGTACTAGTATACTACACTATATACTACTATACACTACACTATACACTACACACTAGTGCTGTACTAGTATACTACACTATACACTACACACTAGTGCTGTACTAGTATACTACACTATACACTACACTATACACTACACACTAGTACTGTACTAGTATACTACACTATTCACTACACTACACACTAGTGCTGCACTAGTATACTACGCTATACACTACTATACACTACACTATACACTACACACTAGTGCTGTACTAGTATACTACACTATACACTACACACTAGTGCTGTACTAGTATACTACACTACACACTAGTGTTGCTCTAGTATACTACACTATACACTACACTGTACACTAGACACTAGTGCTGTACTAGTGACGAATTGGCCACGTTCTGTTTACGCGACAACCCTTAACTAGTTGGCTGTGTCAGGTGGTGGCGGGTTTAACGACACATTTATATATTTTCGCGATCTAACCGCAAAAAAAACCCTCTATTATGCGTAAATGTGTCAATAACCGCCGCCACCCGACAACAGCCAATTGGTAAGATTCGTCACGTAAGTAAAACGTGCCGATTGGTAACTGCTTCAGCACACACTGCTCGTGTCCTGGAGAGTCAAACCCACGACATTTTACAGTTTGTGTACCCGTGACATTTCGCTGGGATCGCGCGCAGCGTCGCACGCGTTTAAATAAATTTTAAAAAAACCATAGCCGGTGCATTTTCTTCACGCCCCGTGACCCCCACCCCCCCGCTGCATCAGCTGTTCCAGTGAGCCCTGCCGCAAAAAATCCTGCCGATGTGTGGTTTGAACTTGGCAACTGTGCGCAGCCAACATCCCTGATTGGAGGTGCGGGGTGCGGGGCGTGGGGGTCGGAAGGCCAACAAACTGAACAGAAGAAGCGGAGGAAGCGAGTTTGTCAATCCTAGAAGATGACCATCTGAAAGTCTCTTGCGTACGTGCGCGTGCACGTACGCATGTTGAACTCCTCTCGCGCACCGTGGATGGCCAACCGCACGAATCGGAGGTGCGGGGGTAGGACAACAAACTTAACGAGAAAAAAACAGTTTGAAGGAAATGAGTGTTTAATCCAGATTGTTTGTTTGAAAGCGCGTGGCTCCAGTGGCTTCTTGATATCGGAAGAGAGCGTTCCAGACGGCCGCTGCAGCGACCGTCTTTTTTTCCGGCTTCCATCGGGCAGTGGATTGAGCGACGATTGCGTCTGTCCGTCGCCGCGCTCGCAGAGTACCTGGAGGTGCTGCGGCGCTCTCTGGAGGCGTACGACGTCCAGTGCGCCGCCAGCGTGAAGGAGGCGTCCGACAGAGCCGTGCAGCTGCTGGGCGAGAAGCAGTACGAGAAGATCGGCAAGGACTTCGGGTAGGCGCAGAGCGCAGAGTGCCCAGGCCCCGGTCGGATACCACGGCCAACGCTTGCCCAAACCCCCCCCCCTCCTCCCTCGCTCGCTCCCCTCCCTCGCTCCCTCCCCTCCCTCGCTCCCTCCCCTCCCTCCCCTCCCTCGTTCCCTCCCTCCCTCGCTCCCTCCCCTCCCTCGCTCCCTCCCCTCCCTCGCTCCCTCCCCTCCCTCGCTCCCTCCGCTCCCTCCCCTCCCTCGCTCCCTCCGCTCCCTCCCCTCCCTCGCTCCCTCCCCTCCCTCGCTTCCTCCGCTCCCTCCCCTCCCTCGCTCCCTCCCCTCCCTCGCTCCCTCCGCTCCCTCCCCTCCCTCGCTCCCTCCGCTCCCTCCCCTCCCTCATCCCCTCCCTCGCTCCCTCCGCTCCCTCCCCTCCCTCGTTCCCTCCCCTCCCTCCCCTCCCTCGCTCCCTCCCCTCCCTCGCTCCCCTCCCTCACTCCATCCCCTCCCTCCCCTCCCTCGCTCCCTCCCTTCCCTCGGGCGTGATGGCGTTCATCATCACCACCACCATCATCATCAACAACAACAACCGCTAATCGCCACTAAGTGGCGGTGACGTCACCACGGCGCCTGTGCCAGGCCATGTGCACGTTGAGGCCACGTGAAGCGTCGAACGCCCGCTGGGAGCAGGAGGTCACGGGGCAGACCCAGCAGGTGCCACGGGTCGACTGGCTGAGATGACTGAGACGATGCACCCACCTGCGCCAACACCACCAACATCACCACCACCACCACCACCATCGCCATCACTCGGGAGTTACGGCGCCAGTCATCACCAACAACGCCACAATAGCCACTTAAACGGAAAACTATACGTATACGTATATATTATTATTTTTTACCGGGCAAGGCCCACTGAGCTGCTTAGCTCTTTTTTTTGTCAGAAGCGACCTGGCTACACAAATGATTGCTCCACGAAGCGGCTCATCATCGTGTGGATTGTGGATTGCGTTTCCGATTCCCGTCCCCGGTGACGCGCGCTCTCACGTCATCGGAATAGAGCGAGGATAGCCACGGACATCTTTTTTGCCCTCGTTGTCGTTGTTGTTGTTGTTGTCGAGTGTCAAATCGAGCGGTCGGTCGCGACCACTTCCGTTGGGTGTCTAAACATTCGTCGGCATTTCGTGAAACGAGCGGTCACCGCCGTCCCCTGACGAGCGTTCAACCCCACCGGCGGCGGGGTGGGGTGGGGCCCTGTTGCACAGGCTCTGCGAGCCTCTGGACGTGCGGTCGGACGCGGACTCTGCCTATCTGCTGGAGACCCTCGCGGGCTTCTTCATGGACGTCGTCCAGTACAACGAAGACAACCGTGCCTTCGAGGTGAGGACTCCGCATCGCAGCTGATGGTACGTGCGTGCGTGTGTGTGCGTTGCCAACCGCGCTAATTGGAGGTCTCTGTGCGATGAGTCTATGGGTCTCTGTTGTGTGGTGAGTCTATGGGTCTCTGTTGTGTGGTGAGTCTATGGGTCTCTGTTGTGTGGTGAGTCTATGGGTCTCTGTTGCGTGGTGAGTCTATGGGTCTCTGTTGTGTGGTGAGTCTATGGGTCTCTGTTGTGTGGTGAGTCCGTGGGTCTCTGTTGTGTGGTGAGTCTATGGGTCTCTGTTGTGTGGTGAGTCTATGGGTCTCTGTTGCGTGGTGAGTCTATGGGTCTCTGTTGCGTGGTGAGTCTATGGGTCTCTGTTGTGTGGTGAGTCTATGGGTCTCTGTTGTGTGGTGAGTCTATGGGTCTCTGTTGTGTGGTGAGTCTATGGGTCTCTGTTGTGTGGTGAGTCTATGGGTCTCTGTTGTGTGGTGAGTCTATGAGTCTCTGTTGTGTGGTGAGTCTATTGCTGTCTGTGTGGTGAGTCTATGGGTCTCTGTTGTGTAGTGAGTCTTTGGGTTTCTGTTGTGTGGTGAGTCTATGGGTCTCTGTTGTGTGGTGAGTCTCTGCGTCTCTGTGTGGTGAGTCTATTGCTCTCTGTGTGGTGAGTCTATGGGTCTTTGTGTGGTGAGTCTATGGGTCTCTGTGTGGTGAGTCTCTGCGTCTCTGTGTGGTGAGTCTATTGTTCTCTGTGTGGTGAGTCTATGGGTCTCTGTTGTGTGGTGAGTCTATGGGTTTCTGGTGTGTGGTGAGTCTATGCGTCTCTGTGTGGTGATTCTATTGCTCTCTGTGTGGTGAGTCTATGGGTCTTTGTTTGGCGAGTCTATTTTTCTCTGTGTGGTGAGCCTATGGGTCTCTATTGTGTGGTGAGTCTATGGGTTTCTGTTGTGTGGTGAGTCTATGGGTCTCTGTTGTGTGGTGAGTCTATGGGTCTCTGTTGTGTGGTGAGTCTATGGGTCTCTGTTGTGTGGTGAGTCTATGGGTCTCTGTTGTGTGGTGAGTCTATGGGTCTCTGTTGTGTGGTGAGTCTATGGGTCTCTGTTGTGTGGTGAGTCCGTGGGTCTCTGTTGTGTGGTGAGTCTATGGGTCTCTGTTGTGTGGTGAGTCTATGGGTCTCTGTTGTGTGGTGAGTCTATGGGTCTCTGTTGTGTGGTGAGTCTATGGGTCTCTGTTGTGTGGTAAGTCTATGAGTCTCTGTTGTGTGGTGAGTCTATTGCTGTCTGTGTGGTGAGTCTATGGGTCTCTGTTGTGTAGTGAGTCTTTGGGTTTCTGTTGTGTGGTGAGTCTATGGGTCTCTGTTGTGTAGTGAGTCTCTGCGTCTCTGTGTGGTGAGTCTATTGCTCTCTGTGTGGTGAGTCTATGGGTCTTTGTGTGGTGAGTCTATGGGTCTCTGTGTGGTGAGTCTCTGCGTCTCTGTGTGGTGAGTCTATGGGTCTCTGTTGTGTGGTGAGTCTATGGGTCTCTGTTGTGTGGTGAGTCTATGGGTTTCTGGTGTGTGGTGAGTCTATGCGTCTCTGTGTGGTGATTCTATTGCTCTCTGTGTGGTGAGTCTATGGGTCTTTGTTTGGCGAGTCTATTTTTCTCTGTGTGGTGAGCCTATGGGTCTCTATTGTGTGGTGAGTCTATGGGTTTCTGTTGTGTGGTGAGTCTATGGGTCTCTGTTGTGTGGTGAGTCTATGGGTCTCTGTTGTGTGGTGAGTCTATGGGTCTCTGTTGTGTGGTGAGTCTATGGGTTTCTGTTATGTGGTGAGTCTATGGGCCTCTGTTGTGTGGTGAGTCTATGGGTCTCTGTTGTGTGGTGAGTCTATGGGTCTCTGTTGTGTGGTGAATCTATGGGTCTCTGTTGTGTGGTGAGTCTATTGTTCTCTGTGTGGTGAGACTATAGGTCTCTGTTGTGTGGTGAGTCTATGGGTCTCTGTTGTGTGGCGAGTCTCTGGGTCTCTGTTGTGTGGTGAGTCTCTGGGTCTCTGTTGTGTGGTGAGTCTCTGCGTCTCTGTTGTGTGGAGAGTCTATTGCTCTCTGTGTGGTGAGTCTATGGGTCTCTGTTGTGTGGTGAGTCTATGGGTTTCTGTTGTGTGGTGAGTCTATGGGTCTCTGTTGTGTGGTGAGTCTATGGGTTTCTGTTGTGTGGTGAGTCTATGGGTCTCTGTTGTGTGGTGAGTCTATGGGCTTCTGTTGTGTGGTGAGTCTATGAGTCTCTATGTGGTGAGTCTATGGGGTTCTGTTGTGTGGTGAGTCTATGGGTCTCTGTTGTGTGGTGAGTTTATGGGCTTCTGTTGTGTGGTGAGTCTATGAGTCTCTATGTGGTGAGTCTATTCCTCTCTGTGTGGTGAGTCTATGGGTCTCTGTGTGTTGAGTCTATTGTTCTCTGTGTGGTGAGTCTATGGGTCTTTGTGTGGTGAGTCTATTGTTCTCTGTGTGGTGAGTCTATGGGTTTCTGTTGTGTGGTGAGTCTATGGGTCTCTGTTGTGTGGTGAGTCTATGGGTTTCTGTTGTGTGGTGAGTCTATGGGTCTCTGTTGTGTGGTGAGTCTATGGGTCTCTGTTGTGTGGTGAGTCTATGGGTCTCTGTTGTGTGGTGAGTCTCTGCGTCTCTGTGTGGTGAGTCTATTGCTCTCTGTGTGGTGAGTCTATTGTTCTCTTTGTGGTGAGTCTATGGGTCTCTGTGTGGTGAGTCTATGGGTCTCTGTGTGGTGAGTCTATGGACCTCTGTGTGGTGAGTCTATGGGTCTGTGTGGTGAGTCAATGGTTCTCTGTGTGGTGAGTGGGTCTCTGTGTGATTAGTCTATGGGTCTCTGTGTGGTGAGTCGATGGGTCTCTGCGTGATGAGTATGGGTCTCTGTGTGATTAGTCTATGGGTCTCTGTGTGGTGAGTCTATGGGTCTGTGTGGTGAGTCTATGGGTCTTTGTGTGGTGAGTCTATTGTTCTCTGTGTGGTGAGTCTATGGGTCTCTGTGTGGTGAGTATGGATCTCTGTGTGATGAGTCGATGGGTCTCTGCGTGGTGAGTCTATCGATCTTTACGTGGTGAGTCCATGGGTCTCTGCGTGATGAGTATGGGTCTCTGTGTGATTAGTCTATGGGTCTCTGTGTGATTAGTCTATGGGTCTCTGTGTGGTGAGTCTATGGGTCTCTGTGTGGTGAGTCTATTGCTCTCTGCGTCCTCCGCTCTTAACAAACTGAGCTTTCGAAGGAGCCCTCGTAATCATCGTAACGATGTTAGCGCATGTCTTTGTTCACAGCTCACAAAAAAAAAACATCACAACCCTCCAGGCCTGATTTCTCAGTCAGCGATTCTCTTTCACAGTTCCTAGGGAAATGACTAACACGGGGAATCAATTATTTCCCTATCATCCTCCTCGGCCCTGGAATTATTTACGAAAGATTTTAAAACTGGAGAATGGGGGTAACGCCGTCTGATTTCAAAGCTCTGACAGAAGAAAATGTCATTGACCATTGTAATTGTTTTTAATTGTTTTGTATTTTACTTGTTCGTATTGCGTGTGTGTGTGTGTACGTGTGTGGCGATGTCTTTTTTTTACCCGACTGCTTGCCAGGTCCCCCGCACAATAGAGGGTTTTTTTTTAACCTCAAGTGTTTTTTTTAACCCGGTTAAATTAAGGTGAAAATGAAAATAAGCGAAAGGCTCAGAACGTAGCGATCCGTGTCAATCGCCCGCCCAAGCTCCTCTCGTGCGTAGAGGCGTTAACCAGCCCGCTTCAGGAGTCGTTTACACGTGGGAAGGGAGCCCAGAGCGCCCGCAAAAAAAAAACCCGCGTGTTGCGAGGGGGCAACACTCGATCCCCCGTACAGACGGCGCAGGTGGAGGTCCGTACCTTGCTGCACCGAGCCGGCGTCCGTGCGGTGATCCCCACCGACCTTCGCCGCTGCCTCCACGGGGCCCTTCCTCTCTGTTATTGTTCCTTCTGCACCCTTTGGCACCTGACAACAGTGCAACATTTTGTTCGCCAAAAGTTGCCCGGCGGCGGCGGCGGCGGCGAATAACCGAATTCGGTCCCGGATCTCCCCCGGGTCGACTCGGACTTTCGATGACTACTTATTGTTGTTCTTGTGCGACCCCCCCCCACCACCACCACCCCCCCCCCCCATCCTCGTCCGCAGGGGGCGAAGGGCACGAACGTCACCATCAGCGTGCTGTGCGCGGTGATGCGCGACGCGGCGCTGGGCGGTGCCTACGAGCGCTACGCGGCGGCCGTGCGCCTCACTAGCGATGCGCTCGGGGTGCCGTGCGTGGACGCCAGCTACACGGGGTTCCTGCGAGACATGCGCGGGCACTCGTGGGACGGCCCCGCCGTCGCGTCCGGCGGTGCGTGCGTGCTTGTGCTGTGTGACGCTTCACGTGGCCTCGAGGCGCACATGGCCTGGCACAAGCGTCGTGGTGACGTCACCGCCACTTGGTGGCGAATGGCGGTCGTCGTTGTTGTCGTTGTGCGAGTGTGTCTGTGAGCGGGGAGCGGTCGGTGCAGCGGTCAGCGCCACGCCACGCTACGAACCCGAGTTCGATTCCCGCTCACGGCCAACACCGGCGACGATTATTTGAACCGGTCCCCGGGCCTCCCATAGGTCGACTCGGCCTCGAATAAGTACGTACAGCGCGAAGAAGTTCAACCTACATACAAAACCGGTGCGGTGTGTAAACATCGCCACTGGGGAGACAAAGGCGGCCGGGCGTGGTGTTGGCCACCCACCCCCTGTAGGTGCTGCTCTGTAACGACGCTTGCCCCTACAGCCTGTTAACGGCCACGCGGAGGAGGCTCGTGATGGACGCCACCGAGGCCAGTCGGAGGCAGTCGCCCTTCGGCGACAGCAGAGGGCGGAGGAGCGACGCTCGCAACGACGGGCGGAGGCGCCGGGCGGCCGAAACGCGGCGAGCTGGCGCTGTAGGTGGGGGGTACCGGCGGTGCAGCGGCGGCCGGTCCGTCTCGGTCGGTCAACCCCCCCCAGGGCGCCTGCCGCCGGCGACCTCCGAGTGACGATTTTTTTTTATAATTCGTTTTGTGGCGCCGGGTTGGTGGAGGGGCTCTCGCTCGGCAACGCGTCATTTCTCGACACGTTCCCTTGGTTGAATTGCGCCGATGATCCGTGCCACCCCCCCCCCCCTCCCCCCGTGGGCCGTGTGCACGCTGTAGGCCGGCAGTGGGTGTACCAGACGTGCACGGAGTTCGGGTTCTACCAGACGACCGACTCGGCACAGCAGCCCTTCTCTGGATTCCCACTCAGGTATCCGTCTACACTCGTCCGTGTGTCCTGTGAGAGAGTAGACACGAGCCCACGCTCACCCACGCTCACCCACGCCCACGCTCGCCCACCCTCACCCACGCTCACCCACGCCCACCCACGCCCACGCTCGCCCACGCTCACCCACGCCCACGCCCGCCCACGCTCACCCACGCCCACCCACGCTCACCCACGCCCGCCCACGCCCCTCGCCCCCCCGGGCGCCCGCTCGCCCACAGCTACAAGCTGCAGCAGTGCGCCGACGTGTACGGGCCCGAGTTCGACGCGGCGGCGGTGGCGGCCGCCGTGCAGAGGACCAACGAGGACTACGGGGGCCTGGCGCTGCGGGCCTCTCGCATAGTCTTCCCCAACGGCTCCCTCGACCCGTGGCACGCGCTGGGGGCCACCCGAGACCTCGCGGCCGACCTGCCCGCCGTCTTCATCCAAGGCAGGTCGAGCGCGGCCCCCGCCCCCCCCCCCCCAGACGGTTATCTCCCTCGCCCTGGTATACGGGGAGGCCCGTCGGTTCGACCCCCGACGCTGACGTCGATGCGTGCTTGCGCCTTGGGAGTTTGCGTGTTCCCCTCCTCTCCCGCGCGCTCTCTCACCGTGGCCGCGTGGATTTTTCTCCGGGGCCAAGCTCTCGCAGCGGGCGGCGACGTCCGCGCGCCATTGCCGTTGCTGCCGCGTGCGATCCCAAACTTGGGGTGAACTTGCGGTGGAATCTTTCGAGACCTTCGGCAAAATGTGGACGGCGACGCCGGGAAGCGCGATGGCGGGGATCTTGTTAATGTCCACCGTTAGCATTTTACGGTTAATACAGAGATCCCCCGTGTAGCCTGAACAGACTCTCGGGGGGAAAGCGCTGTTAGAGAGCGGCGCCTGCGAAGGCTGGCACGGCGCTCGATGGGGTGGGTGGCCGGCACCAACGCCCGGCCGCCTTCGCCTCCCGGTTGTTTTCGCGTTTCTACGTCGGACTTCTTCCGCACCGATCGTAGCCAACCGTGCCGATCGGAGGTGCGAGCGGCGATGTCTACACGCGGCACCAGGTCTAGACGGGGGGGGGGGGGGGGGGGGGGGGGAGTCCCAGGGCCTGGTCGGTTCAGATAATTACCGCCCCCCGGCCCCCCATGGGGCACATTTCTTCTCGCCGCAGGGACAGCGCACTGCGCTAACATGTACCCCGCGACGGCCCAGGACCCTCCGCAACTGACCGAGGCCCGCGCCCGGGTCTTCGACATTCTGCAAAAGTGGCTGAGCGAAGACGACTGAGCGCGTCGGGCCTCCGGGAACGTGCGCTCGGAGGCTCTTCGGGCGAAAACCCCCGGCGTGAAAACGACGCCGCTCGGTCCCGGGACAGAAAGAAAGAAATAAAAGCGGATTCCCACAATGTGCTTGGCGATACACGGCGTGTGTGTGTGTGTGTGCGTGCGTGCCCTATCCCCCACCCACCATCCCCACTCACCGTTTAGTCCGTGGGCCAGAGAGGAAATCGGAGTAGTTGAGCCGAATCGATTTGTTTACACGGCGAAATGATAATGAACACTCAAACTAAGTAAGCGGGTTTTTTTTATTTTTTTATTTGACCAGGTAAGGTCCTCCGAGCTATATGGAGCTCTTATTCAGAAGCGACCTGGCTATCACAAACGATCGCTCAACAAAGTGGCACCTGATCACGTGGAAATGTATAGGACTCTTGAATGCACGTCGATTCTGAATTTGGGGAGATAGCAGAGACACGTTAACTCCAAATACTCAGCAGGCATCAGTGTCGGGATCGAACCCACGACCTCCTGTATACCAGGCGAGGTAGTTAACATCTCCTAGCCACCGTGATGATGAGATAGAGAGACGCAGACTCCAAATATACAGCAGGTGTCAGTGTCGGGATTGAACCCACGACCTCCTGTATACCAGGCGAGGTAGTTAACATCTCCTAGCCACCGTGATGATGATGAGATAGAGAGACGCAGACTCCAAATATACAGCAGTTGTCAGTGTCGGGATCGAACCCACGACCTCCTGTATACTAGGCGAGGTGGTTAACATCTCCTAGCCACCGTGATGATGAGATAGAGAGACGCAGACTCCAAATATACAGCAGGTGTCAGTGTCGGGATTGAACCCACGACCTCCTGTATAACAGGCGAGGTAGTTAACTTTTCTCCTAGCCACCGCGTCAACGCCGCAGGGCTGTTGACGGTGACGGAGACGCCGGCGCATTTCACCAAAAGAATCGGGGGGGGGGGGGGGGGGGGACGGGACAGAAATCGGCGTTTTGCGTGGACCTGAATCTGCTCCGATCAGTGCAAGCGAAACGAACAAACAAGCAAGAAAGGGGACGTAAATGGGTACCGACAGATTGCATTTAGCCGACTTTGAGTGCCCCGGCCTCATCTCACGGCTGCGCTTGTCACGAGAAAAATCAAAACGGCAATCGAGGGACTTTGATGGCAGTGGGTGAGCACTCGTGGCACCGATCAACAGAACACAACTCCCACCCACGGCACACCGCACGCACTGCTTCACAGCAGGACGCAGGGATTCCCAAACTCCAGGCTGTATGTTTGTATGCGTGTTGAACGTGTTTCGCACCGCACGAAGCCGACCGCGCCAATCGGAAGGACAAGAAACTCATCGCGAAAGAAATTAGTTTGCCGATCCGGATGACAATTTGAAAGTTGCTTAGCTCCAAGTGGCACGCTAATATCGAGGGAGGGGGAGAGCGTTCCAGACGGCCGCAGAAGCGTATCTGATAGCGTGTGGCGTGGAGACGCGTCTTACAACGATCTGGCGAGTGTGGCGTGAAACGAGTTAATTATTTCGGGTGGTGGCGGTGGGTTGCAAGGACTGCAGTTTGGTAAACACCGCACCAAGGTAACACGCCGTGCAGTGACAGCGGAGCTGGGACGCGTGGCGGTTCCCGTACGCGCAAATACTCGGGCGATCGGACGTTCGGCCAGGGCTGTTGAGCGACGTTTCTCTTGTCGGGTTCCACGGCAAAGTGTGGGCGGGCGCGGTGCCACGTGACGAACAACGCGCGATGAACGTGCGCAGAGGCCCCGTGGCATTTCGTGGTGGACGTGGCGACGTGACTTGCCGGGACAGTCGCGTTCTTTCCCCCCAACCCCCACCTCCCCCTCTCTCGAGTCCGGCGCTCTCGAAACGAACCACAGATTTGGTGATGGAGGGGGGGGGGCGGGCCGCACATTCGGTTCGGATCCTTTTAGAGCCGGCGGGGTGCTTTTGTGTCCGCTCGACGCTGCCCCGCGCCTTTCCAACGTGTCTCGTCTCGCGCCCGCCCGCAGTTATTTCTTCTGTTGCGCATTGGCATTTTGTCGCCATTTGGTTCGAGATTGTCGCGACGTGTTTTTATTTTTTCTCGTTTTTTAACTCATGACCACTTGGGTTTCGTGGATGTCGTCTGCGACCTGCTCCTTGTTCGGCTGGCTGGCTCGTTTTCACCGATCTCTGCGTCTCGGCGAGCCATCTGTCGGCGAGCCATCTCAGCCAGACATCCCTCAGCGAGCCAACAGCGAGCCATCTCTCGGCGAGCCATCAGCGAGCCATCTCAGCCACACATCTCTCAGCGAGCCATCTCGGCGAGCCATCTGGGCGAGCCACAGTGATCCAACAGTGAGCCATCTCTCAGCGAGCCATCTCTCAGCGAGCCATCTCTCAGTGAGCCATCTGTCGGCGAGCCATCTCAGCGAGCCATCTCTCAGCGAGCCATCTCAGCCACACATTTCTCAGCGAGCCATCTCTCAGCGAGCCATCTCTCAGCGAGCCATCTCTCAGCGAGCCATCTCAGCCACACATTTCTCAGCGAGCCATCTCAGCGAGCCATCTTGTCAGCGAGCCATCTCAGCGAGCCATCTTGTCAGCGAGCCATCTCAGCCAGACATCCCTCAGCGAGCCAACAGCGAGCCATCTCTTGGTGAGCCATCTCTTGGCGAGCCATCAGTGATCCAACAGCGAGCCATCTCTCAGCGAGCCATCTCTCAGCGAGCCATCTCTCGGCCAGCCATCTCTTGGCGCGAGCCATCAGTGATCCAACAGCGAGCCATCTCTCGGTGGGCCTTGGCCATTCCGCACAGGCGTCCAGCGGAAGGGAACCCCGCTGGCTTCGTCGCTAACCGCGGCGTTGTCGTGGCGTCGAGCCGTCGAAAAAAATCTGCACCAGACGAAATCTTCCGCCTGCTCACCCCCCCCCCCCCCCCCCCCCGCTGGTGCTCCCGAGCGCTGTTAAAAAAAAATCAAAGTAAATACGATTCGCGCTTCGTATTGTTATTTTTTTGTAATGATTTGTGTTCTTTAAAATTGAATACATTTGCGAAACCACAAATGTCTACGGTGCGGGTGACATGGGGGGGGGGCGGGGGGGGGTGGGTGGGTGGGGGTGGGCAGAGCTCCGGCGGAGGAAGAAGAAGAAGAGGAGGCTACGTCATCAACAACAACATCAACAACAACATCAACAACAACATCAACATCAACAACAACATCAACGCCGACACTGTGCCCGTGTCGGCGTTGATGGCGAGGTGAAGTTCCCTGTGCAGGGCGACTCGCGCGCGGGGGGGGGGGGCGGGGGGCGGGGGGGGAGGAGGGACCACCCTTTGGTTCGATAGGCGCACCCCCTCTCGAGCACCGTCACGCTTCGCAGGTCGATTTTGCGTTCGGTTCGCACGGTGCCGCAAGGTTCCGATGCGGACTCGCCGACAAACCAAAACAAAAACGGCGTCGGCAAGCCCCCCCCCCCCCCGGGAAGCCTGCGGCAGAGGCGATGGAATCGAGTGGCCACGCCGGTGGGGGGGGGGGGGGGCGTCGGGGGAATCGTCGATGGAGCTCGCTCCGTGATGCGATGCCCGCATCTGCACCGCAAGGTCTGCGCGCTGAAATTATTTTGCGCCGCACGTGGCCAGCCGCGATATTCGGTAGTGCCGGCAGCGGCGGGGGGGGTGGCGGGGGGCGGGGGCACAAACTAAATGCAAAAGAAAGCTGTTGCTAAAGAAACGAGTTTGTCAGTCGAGATGGTGAAAAGTGCATGGCTCAAACTAAACACAAGAAAGTCGTTGCTAAAGAAACGAGTTTGTCACACTAGATGATGATTTAAAAGTGCATGGCTCAAACTAAACACAAAGTCGTTGCTAAAGACATGAGTTTGTCACACTAGATGATTTAAAAGTGCATGGCTCAAACTAAACACGAGAAAGTCGTTGCTAAAGAAACGAATTTGTCACTAGATGATGATTTAAAAGTGCATGGCTCAAACTAAACACAAGAAAGTCGTTGCTAAAGAAACGAGTTTGTCACACTAGATGATTTAAAAGTGCATGGCTCAAACTAAACACAAAGTCGTTGCTAAAAACATGAGTTTGTCACACCAGTTGATTTAAAAGTGCATGGCTCAAACTAAACATGAGAAAGTAGTTGCTAAAGAAACGAGTTTGTCACACTAGATGATTTAAAAGTGCATGGCTCAAACTAAACATGAGAAAGTAGTTGCTAAAGAAACGAGTTTGTCACACTAGATGATTTAAAAGTGCATGGCTCAAACTAAACACAAAGTCGTTGCTAAAGACATGAGTTTGTCACTCTAGATGATGATTTAAAAGTGCATGGCTCAAACTAAACACAAGAAAATCGTTGATAAACAAACGAGTTTGTCACACTAGATGATGAATTAAAAGTGTGTGGCTCAAACTAAACACAAAGTCGTTGCTAAAGACATGAGTTTGTCACTTTTGATGATTTAAAAGTGCGTGGCTCAAGCTAAACACAAGAAAGTCGTTGCTAAAGACATGAGTTTGTCACTCTGGATGATGATTTAAAAGTGCCACAGCTGCTCCAGCGGCTTCCTGATATCGGAAGGAAGAGCGCGTTCCAGACGGCCGCAGCAGCAGCAGCAGCAGCGCATCTGAAAGGGCGACTGTGTGTATGAGCGTGAGTGTGTGTATGTGCCGGCCATCATAGCACTTGCCCTAAGAGGCTATACGGGGGGACCTTTGTCTTTGTATGTTGAACTTCTTTCACACCGCACGTGACCAACCGCAATAATCGGAGGTGCCGGGGGGGAAGGACAACAAACTAAAGACAAAAAATAAAAGTCGCTAAAGAAACGAGTCTGTCACTCTGGATCAGGGGTGGGGAACCTTTTTTCTGCCAAGGGCCTTTTGGATATTTATATAACACCATTCGCGGGCCGTACAAAATTATCAACTTAAAAATTAGCCCGTTATATTTGGTCAAACATTTAATGAACTCACCCCCTAATGCGATGGCTGGAACCGCTTCTCTTTGGCGAGGCGAGGTGATGATGTTAGCTGGTATTGATGATGTTGCTGCTACTCGCAACTAGATTTATTGAAGTTCGAGTCCCGCCTGCGGTTGCCTT